TGTTAATGTAATTGATATAGAATGTTGATATAGTGATTAATAATGAAGTATTAATCAATCATATATTGGTACCACAATAATATTATTAATCTATTATTGGCACATTAATTTATCATCAAGTGGTCTGTTCTCTTCATTTCAGTTTAGATTGAAGGAGCCTTTGTGAAACTTCATTGGATTTCAGCAAAGTTTTAATATATATTGATTTGTAGCCAAAATAATTGTATGACCCTGGTCAAATATCTTTCTGAATTAAAATGTCAGATGAAGTTCTGAACACAGAGAGCAGATTAACTTGGCTTTCAGTGTTAACATTTAGTTAAAAACGACTTCTTCTATTATTCATTATAATTCGTCAAGGAGATATCTGTGGTCCAAATGTTTAGATCAGAGTGAAGTGATTATTATTACTGGGGGTTGATTTGATATCAACAGCAAAGGTTATTGTCATTGAAATATAAATGACATTTATTAGATGTTCAAAATAAAGTGGATCATGTCATGTTTTTGTGAAGTTATATAAATGATATCATTATAAGAGATAATCAACATGTAATTCTTTTTTAATGAGCAATTTGATAAAGCGACTTGAATTCTGAGATTAACATTTTTCTTGTACCTTGACCAGCCGGCAATATAGATTATCAATGGACAACTAATCTGAATAGATTTTTATTATCCAATATAAAATAATGAATAGAATTTTATAATCTTCAACAATTACTGTCCAAAGTTTACATGGAAGTTATATTATATTTTCCACTGTCAATTTTATATCTAGTGTAACTTGTGGTTTATTCATGAGACAGAACATGTTTTATTCACCTGTTTGGGTATTTAAGTCCTCGTTTTTCAAATTCACAGTGCAGTGTGAAAGCAATATGGTTCTGAATTGTCTTTAGGATCTTTGAAGTGAAAGACATGTCATAATGTGAAATGAATCTGGAATTAGGAAATCTTGAAGGAAGAAACAAACAAAATCATCAATTGCCAGTGTAAAAGGATTGTGATATTTTTGTTTATATTTAAATGTTCATAAGTACTTTCAATGTGTAATTGTACAAATGTAGTGGCCTTTAAATTGTGTACAATGGATATGTTTTTTTTATAAATGACTAATATTCTTTAGCTCTCACTGAATAACCTCATTTGACAAAATATTCTTTATTGGATTTGATCTGTTATGATATATTCTGCACTATAGAATATAAAAGTTAATTCTTATTTTCATTTTTAAAGTCAGTTGAGATCTGAAAAGTACTTTTAATGAATGATTGTGTGAAACCAATGTAGTTACCTGGATTATTATTGGGTAAAAAATGTATAAATTTTGTAGTCTACTTATGATAAGGTAGCGGTACATGCTATGACACTTGTTAAGATTTGACTCATGTGAACAATGTTTTGATGATGTAATTAATCTGTTCATGCGTTACAAATTTTCAAACAAAATTAATTTATGAAAATTCCATATGATGTTTTGACAAAAGTTGAATGATGCCTATTCAATTTCCGACAATTTACCAGAATTATTGTGAGGTGATCATGGTTCCGTATGATAGTTTAAAGTTAAGATTTCGATCTACACCAACAAGGGAGCTAACTGGATCATTAGATCTTTTCTTGTCAGCTTTAAGTAGTAGGTTAGTATCATTTTATGTATGTTCATGTCGAGATCATAGCTGGACTGTGGCAGCTCAGTCAGATATACACTGATTCAGATGGAAATAAATTCTGCTGCAATATTTCCCTACCCGTCTGTTTTAATTAGCCTAATCAGGTTCAGAAGACTAGGATGCAAACCTTTGTTTATTGTAGGGTTATCTATCTGACTTGAAAAATGCTTCTTAATAAACTTAACTTTTTAAAATATGTTGAAATTGGTATCAGAGTAAACAGTTTTTATTGAATTTGAATGAAGTTTGGCAATTGCCCAATGCAGAGTTTATACCCTTACCAAAATAGCATGCAGATCATGTATTATAATTTGAATAATATTTATTGATATATATGAATTTGACAAAAGTACAAATCTATTCTGGACTGACACACCCTACTTATGTCTTATCATTGCCTTAATTTCTATTTTATTGAATTATTTTATTCATCTGTTTTATTCAGCATGTTGTTTTGGAATATACGTTATGAAAGGCAGTTTGAAAAATGTGTTAAGAAACAGCAATTGTTAACAAGGTTGAGGAAAGATGACTGATTCAAGGTCATCAGACTAAAACCCACAACCATTACATATATAATGTTACCAAGCAAATGGCATCAAATTCAAAAGTTCTAATAGAATGCACAAGCAGCCAATTCCTGGCTTCAGTTAAATTAAGATTATCTGATTGCAAAATTTTAATGGCAGGTCAGTTACATTTGGGAAAATATAACTCGGCAACTATCAGCATATACCTCAGGATTAAATTGAACAAATCTTTGTGTATTCTTGGGGGTGCCTCTTTAGATCAGTTTATCAGGTGAGCAATGTATATTTTGTATGTTAAATATTTTAATAAGACATCTAAATAATTAAAGTTTGATTCTCGTGTGACATATTATTCTTTTTCCTGTTACCCATGGTAAATAACAAATATAGTACTAATAGAGGTATACAATAGTACAAATATGATATTAATTACCAAATATACCAAAACACTTACAAATTGTCCTACCATCAAAAACACATGATATATAACCTTGTATATAATACACCATTTATAACCTTTTATTTATCTCTTTTATATCCTTTATATTTCCTTTTATACCCTTTTTATACCCTTTATTCTTCTACATTTTATATGTTTGACTTTGAGTAAGGAAATACATGATTAGTATTTGTGCTTAGGAAAATATTTTCAAATTTTTCAACTATCTTAACATGGGACAGGTTAGAATTAAAAAATTGGAGTTTACACAGACCAGTTTGAATTTGAAGTGGATCATGGAGAATTTGCTCTTAGTTATAAAATTAGAATAAAACATGAACAATAATTCCATTACATTGTTTCATTCAATAACTTTCTTTTGATTTAGAGACTTCTTTCTAACTATGAATTAAGCATTGTGTATAGTTACAAAGGATTTATAAGACTTTTGTTATTACTTATATTACCATCAATTATAGTGATACAATAATTTACATATAGTTTATTATGGAAGTAGAGTATTTTAGGTGTTAATATTGTGCTTAGATGTTGCAGTTCTTGAAGTTTCTTTTGTATTTTGTTGTTGTTGGAGCTTCTTTTATGACTGGCATAAGTTGGTGATATGTTGAAATCTTTTTGAGCCAACAGCCACCTAAAGCTTGTCTGAAACTATTTAATGGATTGATAGTGATTAGGAGAAGGTTAATCACACTTTGTATCAAGATTTTATAGCCAGAAAACAAATGCCTCCGTTACCAAATAGATACTATTGGAATTATGGTATAAAGTATACCAAAATATAGTGTTTATTTCACATTCTAGTGATAAAATATCCTTTAAAGTTCTATAATCAATTCGGATAAATCTGAACCAATAAGAAAGGTAACAGTCAAAGTAGATTTTTGTAGATGTGATGTCATGTGAATGAGACAAGTAAAGTAATCTACTTTAGCTTGAAAACAATATTTGATCTCTGCCCAGGATTATATTTATACTCTAGTTCATTTAAGTGTCATTTTAGTGTGACTTATTTTGATTAACAAACATACATATGACACCCTCTTTTATCATGATATATGCTTTCGTGCATGTCATTGTTAATCTTTGTCTAGAGAACTAATTGTAAAGGTAATAAAGTTCAGTGAATGTACATGTACTAGATAACCGTAATAAAAGTTATTTAAGGCTTTCAAAACTAATTCAAATTATTTGTTTTCTCTGTTTGTAATGCTATAAACCAAGTAACCAATGAGTCTGTCGGCATCCAGATAGAGTTCTACTGTTTTGTAGTTCTTTAAATTTAGTGTTGGGGTTTATCTAATTAAAACTGTTTTGAAGGCTTTGTGATTGAGAAAACTATCTGAATTGAGATGTTTCCAGCATTGGTTAACACAAACACTTGTTTTATGATAAATCTAGACTTAAAAACTCTACGTAGATCATTTGACAGCAAACCACTAGTTACGTCGGGTGAGAAAACTTGTCTTCCTCCGTGTGGCTGTGATGCCAGGAATACCAAATACTGTATCTTAGAATCAGTAGCTGATAAGGAAATTAGTGATAGGAAAACATCAAAGCACTTTTCATGGGTTCCCTTTGGAATATCAACTACAAAGTAAGTATTCTATTACATTGTTATATCAAAACTATAAAAGTGGTAGAATGTGCCAATATAAAGAGTATATTTGGAAATAGTGTATTAGTGATGTCATAGTTGTAGAAGAGTTTGATTTATAAAGCTAATAGTAAAAGACATGCATATTACTACTATTAGGCTCACCAAATGACATTTGTAAAAAAGGGTTACTAGCTCCTCCAAAATATAGTCAATAAATGTAAATAATGATTCATGTATGTTCTATCCACCTCCTGGTTTCATATTCATTTCAGTCTTGTAGATGTACTTATAGTTACTAAACTGTGGGCCCAATATATGCTTACATGTTAAGTTCTTGAATTCTTTACACTTTTTAATAAAATCATAAGGTAGCTAAGAATGTATTTGACCTTTAAATGTGACCAACCTTAGATTTTCATCTTTAGAAAACATGGTGAGTTAAGATCTTCTCAGTAATAGGTAAAGTGAATCTCAGACAACTCTTCAAGACACAGGGTTGAAATAAGTTGACAATATCAGCACAATCTTTTCCTTTAATATATTTGTATTATAAGTATGATATATTTATTTTTGACTAGTCGTCAAGAGAGTTAAAAAGAAAGGCGTATAGTCATGGTCATATTAACAGATCAAATATCCATTTTAATACCAAAATCAAACAATTGATAATATCCCACCTTTACCTTTCAAAATTGCCATTCAACAATGATATTTACCACGCAGAGAAAGGCTTTGATCAAGCTTGAAAATCATTCTTTCTTTTGGAAGGTGAATTATAAGACGTAAGGATAGAATGGTTTCTGTTATTTAATTGTTATGGTGTTCATGAATAATTCTTGTTTTATGACTTGACATTTTGACATTCAAGACCTGTTGTTTATGACATGTGTTCTGTTCTGTTCTTATAGTTGGATTTAGAAATATTAGTTATGGATTTATGTACAATGCTAAACCATAATTCAAATATTAGTTAAAAAGAAGAAAATCCTCATATCCTCAAATAGTTTGACAACCATTTTTAAAATTGTGTCTGTGAGGCTATAAATTTTTTAGTTGAATTTCTTGAGGTGTTTTTCATTGAAATGTGTCAAATGTGTACAAAGTAAAATATTTTTGGAAAATATTCTGAAATGTATCCTGATGCTAGTATGACTATTGTTTCTTTATCACGACCAAAAACAGTGGGTTACCGTGACAACCAACCAAAATTACTACGTCATTCTTCATTACGGAATATCTATGGTAGAAAGTGCCCTATAACTTTACTTGGTGAAAAGGAGTATCTAGGATTTAAACAATCCAGACCTTATTCTGCTGCTACTTTTTTCAGGTAATAAAGCAGTTATCTCCCTTTAGTCCTCAAACTTGACATTGATTTCAGTTGGGACTTCCTTCACAATTTAGTTGTTGATATAATATATATTTTCTTAAATTGACTTCACAATACAAACAGAAAGGCTGTCCTCTGTGACATGCCCTGCTGCATGTCAAATTCTGTTCACTCTCCTGCAGAACAGTACAGTACTGTTCAATGTTCTTGTAAACAGTTTTCCAGTTCATTTTAACTCCAACACTTATGTCAGTGTTAAATCTTTTTGTCTGAAATGATTTCAACTTTATGATGATGATTCTGATTATGGCTAATCATCGTTGCCACCACTTAGAAAATGATTTCCAGCATCATTGATTGATTGTTAGTTCTAGTGTTGAAATGATTACAGTCTTGAATGAATAGACAAAATTATATTGACTGTTGTTGTGATGAGGGTTGCTATGGTGATGATTAATTATTATCATTATTGGAAATATATCTCAAGCTATTTGCATGTGAGGTTCATATTTCTTTTGGTGCCAAGATTTTGAAATTTGTGACTGAATTTTACAATAATGAAAAATCAAAACATAAAATTAAAGCGGTAAGAATGTTATTCATTTATTTACATTACATGCAATACATAGTTTCTTTGTAATCATTTCATATAATTCATACAATTTTGATAGGTGACTGGGAGCCACGGTGGCTCAGTGAGTTAGACACCTGCTCGCTAACCTGAAGGTCCAGTCTAGCATAGATCAAGAGATAATACCTTCAGATTTTTCAACGTGTTTACCCCTGTCAGTGTTGGAGGTAAGAAGGACTGACTTGGAAAAAGCATCCAGTCGGTTAGATGGGATGATAAACCTAGGTTCTGTGTGCTACAGGCCATGCAGGTGAAAGATCCCTCGTCAGTTGGAAATCGAAAAAGAGCAGGCTACTGCCACTGTCCTGACAAAATTTCCCTCATAACACTCTGCAAGGCGTTAGCGTAAGTGGTGTAGAAAAGTTTTTGATAGGTGACTGTTAAAATATTATGGGAATTAAAAACCGATGAGGTTTTAGTTATTCTCCATATACAAGAAATGTTGGACCTTTAGTTAGTAATAGAAGAGTTAATTTGTTTGAATCATAAAGAATTCATAACAATAACAGATTTGCATTGTGATTAGCTCAAAACATACTTAAATGATCCTAACCTAATCTTTGGTTTCATACCAATTGTGAATAATTCACAGTTGCTGACAAGTTTATTAAATTATTTGAGATTTTTCATGAATAAGTTCTGATGAACTACAGCAAAACAAGAAATGCTGAAGTAATGGCGTTGTAAACAAACAAATGAGAAGAAATTTGAAAATACGAGTGTCAGGAAGTTAATATAAGATTTGTTATATGTATGAGTACTTTTACTGTTTCAGTTGTATATAGTCAATGCCTGTAATCAATATAGCCCAGTAATACCTAGACCAGACAATCAATAACATATCAATTATTGATTAAGACATACTTTTACTGACATTATAACACTAGTTGTACAAAATCTCTCCTCAATTAACCTTCAACATTTGTAATTTGTATATTGAAGAGACATAAATTTTTTCTCTAGAATCTCTTCTTATCTCTCTGAGATGCTTTTAAGTTTATTATCTTCATAGAAGACCACAATGGTCAAGATTCAATTGTCATCTATTTTAATAGAATCATTGTACAAGAAGACAATTTTGAGCTCCATTTGTCTTTTCTGACAATTCTTCTGCTAATGTCTAGTCCTGGATATTAAGTACTCATTTCATGTTGGGGTCAATTGAACTATTTACTCAGAAGAAAATGACAAGGTGTAGTTTTCAATAAATGAGTAAAAACTTGAATAATTGTCATTTGTTTTTGAACTTCAGTAGTATGCATATTCCAGAAATTAAACTTTTCTAGAGATGACTTAGAATGAAAGTAATTCACTAATCCTTTCGCTAGATCCTAACAACTAAACCCCCTGATAATGATTACAATATAAACACCAAGTACTTGATCATATTATATAGTTTATCTGCTTATGACCCACCTATATCTATCTAACTATATTTAAACTCTAGACAATTTCAACATGGCTGACATGGCGTAGTTATGGACTCAAGAATGTGAAAACTATTGAGTATGGAACATAAATGAACTGAAGCATTATTTCATAACTTTTTTATTAATTGACAATATTTTGAATTAATGTCACAGTTACTATGCTTGTATTTGTGCATTTGTAAAGTTAGTGTATAAGCTTATGAATTAATGAAGTTCAATGACTTGTGATTTATTTGTTGAGCCAGACTGGATTTTATAATTGATCAAGATTTTCAGTTTACTCAATCATATATGTGTTTTTGGCTCCAAAAAAACTTGATTGTGTCTTATGATACTGATGGAATTTCTTTAATAAACTTTTTAAAAAAACATTCAGTGAGAGACATGTAAAAGATGAAAAAACTGGAACTGAACATATCCTACCCTGACTGGCCATGGAGTATACCACATTATCTAAAATCAAAACGTCTCAGGTACAATTATAGTTATTTTTATTTCAACATGTTTGTTAAAAGGATTCATGTTAAAAGACTGGTTAACTCTAAAGCTTACAAATTGTGCTTCTTATTTTGCAGTTGAGTTTTTCAGGCTTAAATTCGAAATTTTTGCATTATGACAACTAAAAGGTTATAGATCCAATGCCTCTATAAATGGTTTTGTTAATCAGAATTACATATATATTAGGAGAATTAGAAACAGGTTATGATATTGTAAATTTTGTTAAATCAAATCTCTTAATTATTGGGTCTTTGTGTCAATTCTGTAATTATGATACAAATTTTGATTGTTTTGATTTGGTCTCCAAAAATTCTAATTTATACTGAGAAAGAATTAGTGCAATGTTATCCACCTCAAAATAAGGAGAGAGTAAAGGTAGTCTTAGTATATTTTGTAAGTTGGCTGTTTTCCATAATGTATGTTATAAAGCCCACTCTTCATATTATTCACCACAAGTATAACAAGTCATTAAGGGTTAATGTTGGTATTGTAGTAGGCATATTCTATATTCATTAAAAACTTACATGTTATAACTTGTTTTATAATATACACATCTAACTGTGTTGATGTTTGAGAAAAATTTAGTAGTTGATAATGAAATAGGTAAGCTTGTATTTATACCAGATTGTAAATTATTTAGTAGTTTGATTATTTAAGAGTTTCAGTTTTAAATCTGAGGAAAAACATATTTCAATTGCCATTTTCAGTATAGTTACAGTATATTTCATTATTCCAAAATAGTTTATTTCGACCATTGTCTATGTCATATATTTTCTGTTTTTCATATAAGCTTAAACAATGAATTTGATAGAAGAAACATTGCCTATCTATTTTATCTTTGTGGGACAAAAATCATACAAATGCAGATGTAAATAGATTTATGAAGATTCATGAATATATTTTTACATTTCAGTTCTTCCAGTTCACCATCTGTACCATATTCTACAGCAGATATTCTTTACAATGGTGAAACTACAAGGTCTTCTATAACAGATGATTATAGTCCTAATGATCTAGTCTACTCAGATAAAGTCTCTGGACGATTAAAAGAAAATAATGATAACAGAAGACCTAATAGTAGAAATACGTCAAGACGATCTATTTCATTAGAAAAGGGTAGGTTAAAAAATTTAAAAACAAACTTAAAGAAAGCAAAATAACCATTCTAATCTCATATTCATATCATAATTATTGAGTTTTTGATTGAAAATAACTGGTACATTTACTTGATATGGTCAACCCTTGTGTTTAGTTATTGCCCTTGATTTGGATAATTATCGTTTATTTCAGTCAGTATTAATGGAGATAGGGAAGATTTACAACCGATCAAAACCACCACAATATCTAAACAGAACCATTTCCGACCTACTGGTATTCGACAGTCATATTTACGTGGTGAACAATTTTACAGTAATAACAATTCACCTTCTAAAACTGGTTCAAATTCTTCAACAGGTATATATTATATTTTTCTTCTTGCTTATAATCATCGTAAATTTCATTAACATTAATACTAGGCTATACATAATAGAAAAATATGAAGTTCAGATGCACACTTGTATGATAAAAAAGAACAGAAATTAATCTGTTGTGAAATTGTCATTATTATAGGCAATGGTGGAGTGCAAAAGGACGATTTAGTTGCTATGGGTACATTATGGAATCCTAATGCCCCTAGAAGTAATGGTGTTGCAGTGAGTAATAGTAAACAGTATCCTAACAGTGGTTCAAATAATCTGCCTCCTCGTCGTGGAGGACCATCTACCTCAAGATTTGCAATGGGTGCTGGTTCTTCCAGACAGCCTGCCAGAGATGGTAAGAAAAAGCTTTCTTCCATGTGTTAGTCACAGGCTAATAAAAGATATAAACAGTTCAGGTGAATTCAATATGCTTATCAATTCTTCTATTAGTACAAGTTACTATTAGTTGGAATGCAGCTTGAATAAACTAAAAACTCATGCTTATTAAATTATAACCTATATTGTTCATCTTGTCTCTTACAGTAGAGCCTAAATACACAGACCCAGCCATTGGTGCAACAAACTCTTTTCAACAACGTTTAATAGACTTATCTGCCCTTGAAGCAGACACTGTTCGGTGGGAACGAAGTAAAAAAGTCAAAAAGAAGCCAAAGCAAGATCGTGACTCTTGAACACTGTGATATTAGGATATTTCTAATAGCATATCTCTGTGATAAATACAGTATTAAAATATAAAGGTGTATTTGAGTTAAGCAGCAACAGGGAAGAAGGTGTTTGTGATAGTGGTTGAGTTGGTAGCAATTTGGACATGATGTTATTTGTAGTGCTCTGTGGTTTTGAAATTTGTTGATAGCCAAAATCTTGTAGAAACAAACATTGTTAACATAAATGTCAACTATTTATATCATTTGCATACTAACTACCTCATGAGTATAGCAGTGATCTAATACCAATAGAAATGACTGTTATCATAAACCACCAAACTACCTTGAAAATAATTAGTGATCCTTTATTTAAGTGACAGGCATGTCTGATACTGTCCATTTTGACTTTTTTTGAAGAGAAAAATATAATTTGACTCTAATCTATTTAAGTTTTGTTAACATCATTTTAAATGGGACATGTGTGGCAAATGGATTCATCAGGACCTAAAATGGACACCCTTTGGTAGAATGCCAAAATGATTGTACTATGTACTTCACTAGAAACAGTAGTGGCATGAAGGGCATCACCTGAAATTGAAAGATGGGTTTTAAACCATGGAGCAAGAAGTGATTTTTCCAAAAATAATCTTTCTATTAACTAGTTTGTTAACACCTACTACAAGATATTTAATTTAATATTCCCTTAATATCCACAATGTGAAATAGGGAGCTATGTTTTACGGATATTATACTTCAAATAGGCATTTCTGAATCTGATATTGTATGAACCAATTAGGAAAATCCCCAATTCTATAATTAGATTACAGAACAAGATCCAATAGCATGTTGTTGAGTATGAAATATTATTTCTGTAAAATTGTTGTTTGAATTTATTTATATTTCTTGTACAAAAGAACATAACTCTGTTATTTACAAAACGATATAGTTTTTGATAACGTACCCTGATGCTTTCCAGAATTCTTTTAGGGGGTGAAAATTAAATTAATGCAAAAATGATCCTAGTGATTAAAAGTACATAAAATCATATGCTACAGGCTAACTTTTGAAGTAAGTTGCCACATGGGCACAGGCCATTTTTATACACCCACATGAATATGTGGTCGTATATTGTCGTCGCCCCTGTCCGTCGGTCCGTCCGTCAACATTTCTTGTGAGCACTATAAAGACTACAGTTTTTATCTGATTTTGATAAAACTTGGTGTGATGCTTTAGATTGATAAGATCTCGGTCAAGTTCGAATTTGACATATTTTCGATGAACGGTTTTTGAGATATTGCCCTTGACTTAGAACGCCTTGAAATTTGTTAAAAATAGTTCGTGAGCAGGATTGAAGCTACAGTTTTCAACCGATTCTGATGAAACTTGGTGTGATCATTGGTATTGAAAAGATCTCGGACAAGTTTTAACTTGACGCATTTTCGATGAATGGTTTTTGAGTTATTGCCCTTGACTTCGTTAAAACGCGTCGAAATTTGTTAAAAATAGTTCGTGAGCAGGATTGAAGCTACAGTTTTCAACCGATTCTGATGTAACTTGGTGTAATCATTGGAATTGATAAGATCTCGGACAAGTTCTAATTTGACGCATTTTCAATGAACGGTTTTTGAGTTATTGCCCTTGACTTTGTAAAAACGCGTCAAAATTTGTTAAAAATAGTTCGTGAGCAGGATTGACGCTACAGTTTTCAACCGATTCTGATGAAACTTGGTGTGATCATTGGAATTGATAAGATCTCGGACAAGTTATAACAAGAGATATTTTTGATGAACATTTTTGAGTTATTGCCCTTGACTTTGTAAACACGCGTCAAAAGTTGGTTTTTGCCCTTGATTAGAGCTGTGTGATTTAATTGTTTGTTGTATTTGGGTTATTGATATTGATCTAAAAAACTTTGTGGAATTATTCATCAGTTAGCTTAACTGGTGTCATAAAGTTATAACAGAATCCATGTAAAATCTGGAAAATTGGAAAATTTATATAACTAAGTAATTATTGAAAGATAGTGGACCATAGCCATATACGCCGACCACGGCATGTGGATTGTAAAAACGAAACATCCATTTTAAGTTTCATCAAAATCAGTTGAAAACTAAGAGAGTAATAGCATATTCAAGATTTTGGGACAAGGGCAATAACTCTGCTTCTAACGGTCAAAAATAGCTCAAATTCGAACTTGATCTTCGTTTTATGAATATGTATACAGATACCGAATTTCATTTGACACATATTAAACCACTACAGACTTTGTTATCATTTCTGATAGCTGGTAGTGGGCATATGTTACCTTGCCTTGCAAGCTATCTTTAATGATTGTAGTTAATATTAATGGAAAAATGTTTATTATGCTTCATTCATTTCACATGAGGACACAAAATCAATAAATGGCCTTCTTAATTATAAATCACATATTATTTACTATTCACGACTATTTTGAGGTTTTAATTACCAAAGAATTCATGGTTGACTGTGTAAATGGTAACTCCTCAAAACTGATGTAAGAGGCCTAATTCTTGAAAAAACCTTAAATTTAATCAGAAGTAAACTTAACTTTCTCAAACCTTTCGATTTAGGTCCAATAACATCCATTTTGAGTTTCATAAAAATCGGTTGAAAACTAAGAGAGCAATAGCATATTTAAGATTTTGGGGCAAGGGCAATAACTCTGCTTCTAACGGTCGAAAATAGCTAAAAATCAAACTTGATCTTCGTTTTATGAATATGTATACACATACCTTTCGATTTAGGTCCAATAACATCCATTTCAAGTTTCATCAAAATGGGTTGAAAACTAAGAAACATTTTGGGGAAAGGGCAATAACTCTGCTTCTAACAGTCGAAAATAGCTCAAATTCGAACTTGATCTTCGTTTTATGAATATGTATACACATACCTTTCGATTTAGGTCCTATAACATCCATTTCAAGTTTCATCAAAATGGGTTGAAAACTAAGAAACATTTTGGGGCAAGGGCAATAACTCTGCTTCTAACAGTCGAAAATAGCTCAAATTCGAACTTGATCTTCGTTTTATGAATATGTATACACATACCAAATTTCATTTGATTCCATCAAAAAATTTAGTTTAATAATTAATTGCATATTTATAGATAATTACTAAGTATTTTGGATTTATCGGTTTATATAAGGATCCTGTTATTTATGTATGATACCAGGTATATCTTCTGATGAATATGTAATCTTATTGGCCAAGTTTAAAATTTTATGTTTATTCTAAGACCTAGTATTCCTTTAAAAGCTTGGACAACAAAATTAATAGAAGGCTAGAGTTGATCATGCGAACTGAATAAGAGTAACCTCCCTTGTAACAAAACATGAAATTAATAATTCAATTTCAAAACCTTAGTTTCAATTGGAAACATATATGTTCAATTCAAACATGTTGTGAAAATATCCAAGAGAAAAGTTTTTGTAGTTTAAAAAAAGACACAAAAAAAATGTTAAGGACTGGTAAAACCGGATCGCACGAACAATTTGGGGTTTTTAATGGTGGCCAAGAAAGAAACATCAACCAAACTACTCAATAATAGCAGTAATATAGCATAACGATTGAGAGTTTGCCGATTAATAGCTCTTTCTTTCGTAATTGATCTTCAAAATAATTACCCTAAATACATCTTATTGTTTTTTCCCTGTCCGAGTAGGCCTAATTTCTAACTTCCCTTAACTACGAAATCAAACCTTTCAGTAGGGGTGGAATGCAGTTTTACTCCAACATGGCCCCTCTCTTTCTTTTATCATAATGTACTAGTGACCATGTGAGAGACTACCAGAGCAATCACAGCCTATAAAGATGGCAGCTTCACTGATGAAGACAGAATTCGGTCTGCAAAGCAGGTAAATTTGTCCAACAGGCTACATCAACTGATCATTAATGCCTGGATGAAGAAGTTTGTCTCAAAGGCTTGTAAAGATGCCAACATTATAATAATTTACAAGAAGAGAACAGACAGTGGCAACTACAGAGGAATACTCCCCTGTCCATGATAACAGTCGCTATCCTTCCAAAGATCATGGACTTTCCCAACACATTACACAATCATGTAGTTCAGGAGACACAGTGTGGATTCAGATCAAATCAGAGCACTGTATAAAGGATCTTCTGTCTCGGACAATTACAAGAAAAGTGCATCGAACATGACCAACCACTGGCCATTGTAATTGTTGACTTCACAAAAGCGATTGATACAGTTGGCAGAACGGGCTTATGGAAACCCCTGAGGGAATCTGGAAAGTTCACATCAAAGATTTAATCTCTGCAGACAGGAATGATATTTAGTGTTGGAGGGGGAAGCCTCTCAAAGGTTTGGTGTCACCAACGACGTCAAGTTTTGGCCCCCACACACTTCCCTAACTGCTTATTTGCTTAAAGAGGCTTTTCGAAACATGAACATTAGTATGCGTGCATGTATGTATTGTTGAGATCTCGGCCAAGTTCGAAATTTGTAATAATCGGAAGAATGGTTTCAGAGTTATAGCTCTTGACTTAGTTAAAACGGGTTAGATTTGCCTTGTGTGCACGATAAAGGCGGCAATTTTTATCCATGCTTGATGAAACTTAGTGTGCATGTATATATGGATGAGATCTCGGTCATGTTAAAAATTGGCAATAATCGGATGATAGATTTCAGAGTTATTGCCCTTAACTTAGTAAAAACGCGTTAAATTTGGCTTGTATGCATAATAAAGGCTAAAATTCTATCCGACCCTGATGAAACTTAGCACATGTATATGCTTGCAGATATTGATAAGACCTCAATCAAGTTAGAAATCGGTAATAACCGGATGAATGATTTCGGGGTTATTGCCCTTGATTCAGTAAAAACACGTCAAATTTGGCTTGTAGACACGATATAAACTACAGTTTTAATCCGATCTTGATGAAACTTGGTATGAGACCTTAGTAAAGCTTGAAATTGGTAACAATCGGATGACTGATTCCACATATTAAACCACTACAGACTTTAAAGTCTTTGAATGGCATTTAGCAATTGTGAGTACGATATATAGACACAACTTTATGGAACAACAATCACTGGTTAAACCAGTGATTGTTGTTCCATAAAGCTGTGTGATTGTTGTTCCATAAAGCTGTGTCTATATACACTACACACTTTGTTATCATTTCCATTTGCTCTAAAGATAATACAAATCATTATAATACTGCGCCAGTAAATTGATATTTCATTGTAAGCATAAATCTGATAAAAGAAATGTTCATGTATTAGTTTATTAGTCCATAAAAATATGTAATAATAGTTTGACAATATAGATATAGTAGCATATTAATAGATTTAAATCCCAACCCCTTTAATGACCACCGACCACAAAGTGTGTCCTATAAAGTGTTTACAAGCTAGAAACGAGGAAAAAAACAAGGAAGTGTTGTCAATAATCTGTATGGCTTATACAATATTGACCAGCTATAAAATGAACACATTGCGTTAAAGATCTTATTCCATTAAAAATCAATTTATATAATATTTTAGTTTCTTTTATGTTCATAACCAAATATTATTCACCCCAGATGCATATTGTGTTCATAAGAAATGATGACAGGTGGACAGGGGCGACGACAATATACCTATACTTTCAGATAGAGGATAATGTATAATGTATAAGTATAACTGTATGAGTAATTTGAAACAGGAGCGCATGAAACAGAGAGCTAATTTTACCAGTAGGCCTGATGAATGATGAATTGTTTTATCTATGTAAACAAAATATCATATTACTGAAAGGGTTAAGGGTTAAGTTTACTTCGACTTTGTGGGAAAAAAAACGATCCAAGAAAATTAAATATCAAAGTTTTTATATAGGCATATTTAGAATAGACAATTTTATTAGACTAAATGTTGGTTATCTTAGGACCATTCTTGATTTGACAGAACACTTATTAATAATGAAGATTCTTAATTTTGATATCTAAAGATTAGTGGAGCAAAATATGATTTATAACATGAGACTTATGAGATCACAGATCATAGAACAAAACTTCAATTATGTCCACGGACTATCGGTAACGTCGATTTAAATCAAATGTTATGCGGAACAAAAGAAATTAATTTCAATTTAGAATGTCTGAGACAAACCATAGTTAATAAATAAAGAGCTTGGTTATTAGAACTTCAATATTTCTCAATAGCTTTTATTGTTTACGTCTCTGAAGGAGTTCTCAATACAAGAATGTAACCTCTATCCATTGTTTAAGTAAATATCATAGGTATATCTTAAATCAATAACAGGATTACAGATCAATACTTTGAGAATAAAAGATTATGGCAGATAGCCAATTATTCTCGAGGTGCCCTCTTTCATAAACAGGTCTATATTAGGCCGGGCAAAATAAATTTTGGTTATCCACACAAAACCACTAAGTTCAGATTGCCAGTTACTGATTTTTCCGATATGATAACGCCACCGTTGTCAAAGAGACCATGTTGACTTGACAATAAGTTATAAACTTTCAACGTTTGAGTTGCAGATTCGAACGTTGATTTTAAGTTTCAAAAGCGGACAGGAAAGCTTTTCATTTCTTTTGAAAGCAATTTCATTGTTACTTTTAATCTTACTTTTGTAGAATTTTGCTATTTTCGCAGAATGAATTAGTGCTATAAAGTTCTTGAAATGCCTGGATTGTCACCTATTGAGATTAATATCTTAATACACGACATGAAACAAACATGTCTTTGGTTTGTTCTTAATAAAAACCAGTTAGTCCTAGTTATTAAGATTATGGTAATAAATGGGTTAACTAATCCAAACATTCAAACAACAGGATAGTCGTAGAAAGAGACGAAAGGAAATCATAAATCACAGAAAATCAAATATTGTGATGTCTCAGGGACGGTTTTATGGTCATGTTTGTCTGGATTTCATTTGACATTTGGAAAACAAAAGATAATTCCATTATTGATTCACAAGACTTATCTATATTCGGGTAAATAATATATAAATCACTGCTACAGAAGTTGGAAAAAACAAAGCCTACACTGAACATTGTGAATAACAAACGTGCGTGCCAGGGTTGGAAGACTTTTAGAGAGGAGTGGTAGAGACCTATTCAATAATTTAAGTTTGATCGCCTGTTAATGGATTAGTTCCCAAAACAGTTTATTTAAAGGGCATTGCAAAACAAGGATTGGTCACGCGCAAAAGATTCGTAAATGACGAAACAGTACAGGACGCAAGGTTCAGTTTCGTCATGTTACGCATGTGATCAAATTTTACATAAAATTTGACATTCGGATTAGGAGAAGGTATATTTACTGTGAAAGCAGATCAATCATTTTCATAATAATGAGGAACTGTTAGTATTCTAAAGATTATACTTAGTGTATTAACCAGGCAAAATCGTGTACAAAATATTAAACTATTGACATTTTAAACAGGGTTGAAGTTTCTGTGGTTATTATAAAAGTAAAGGTGTACAACATTGCCGCTATTTCTACCAAAAGTGAAAAGAACCGTCACAAAACTACAACAACCGAGAGGATGACATCACCACCATCACATATATTTCAACAGATATTGCAGTCTTTCCGAGATCATCCTGATGATGACTTTGAAGAACACATCCAGGATGACGGACAGTGCATTGACTGTTCGTCCTCATTGAATCAATCTGGTGATCATGGGAATGTTGACTATTTGGAACACGATCATGGTGGAGATTGGAGAGATGTTTGTTCCAAGTGTTGGAAGCAATGGAGTGAAAGAAGAAGTAGTGTGTCCTCGGTATCTTCAATGAGATCTGATCCTCCCCACGTTCACTGGCCTGCAGAAGCTAATCTAGTTCGGTCTCATCCTAGAAAGAAATATGTTAGGAATCCACGCACACCATCACCTGTTAAACCTATTTTAAAAAATGGTAAATGCGGACATCGCTGAATTATTTAATATTTAGATTGCAATTGGGGTTGTGCTATGTAAAAACAAGACGTGACAATCCTTGTATAGGTGAACACCCACGGAGAAAGTTCAATTCAGAAGCCGTAACAGTATTAACGTAGACTTTAATTTAGCATATATGAAAGAATGATTGGAACTCAAATGGGACTCGCTTATAATACTACCATTATAGTTTTATGTGGTAGTTGGCATTGCAATGTATTTTGATATTATGACAGACTTGACTTCACTGGCTGACTGGGCATGACTGATAAAATAAGAGGAACTATCATTGAATGGTGATGTGTGACAGTTGCTGATGAACTGTAGATTGTGTCAAACTAGTGGAATAGACGATGGGTATGGGCAAATGTTAAATGAAAACACTATATTCTTGTAAACACAAATAATTTATACACATGTACAAAGCAAAGATTTATAAATAAAAACTATATTACAATCATATTGCACTTTTTAAAATTTTAAAATTCATAGTTTCATTGTAAAATTCATGATGAACCATGTCATGATAGATTTGATGGAAATCAAAAGTTCATGTGCACTTTTTCAAAGAATACTTTTGAATGAATTTAAAAATTCACTTGATAGTGTGATTGTTCTTAGTTTCTATAGAGATCATTAAATTTTAAAAATCTTCACAGGCATCATAAACTATTTAAAAAATTCATTGGGCACTTTCTTTTAGCAATTATGTTAATTCACTTGAGCACTTTTCCTCAATAAACAAATTAATGAGTTCCTATTTGTTATCAACAACTATAATCTAAAGAAAGATGTTATGTTCTGTTGACCTTTGACCTGAGGAAGCAATTTCCTCCGACAAGATTTTGTTTTTTGATTTTTTGCGTTTTTGGTAACTTTCTCCACTGCAATATTCTTCTGTATTACTTCTTTCGATTGGTTAATTATCTTTTCACCACCAAACGTCTTCTGCCTCTTCATTGGTTGTTCCACATTTTCTTTATCTAAGCTTGCAGGGTTAACTTTATTTTTACTGGATAAAGTTTCTACACCAAGTAGAAGTCCATTACTTCCAGGCGCAGCATGTACTATTGTTTTACTGAAATTAAATAGAACTTATTCTTATGCTATATATAAAACATAAATCAGTTTTACATAAACTTTGTTTCAAAAATATTAATATAAGTGAACACATCTTCAACCCTGTGCCAAAGCTATCTGTTAAAAAGAAACTTTTTCAACCATTCTAACCATAATACTTGATATGATAAATACTAAATCTATCTGAAATTATCATAATGTCATCACAATCACTTACCATGGTATCACAATTACTGAGTTGAGGTTTTGTCGCAGAAATTTTTCTTCTTTTTCATCTTCTAGCTGTTTAGGTACAGGTACTGAGGAAAAATTCTAAAGATACAAATATAAAATGAAAGAACTTTACTAGATACTTTACTTTCACATATTTGATGTAAGGTCAAGCAAAGATAATTGTGGATGATCCAATCTAGCTAGTGTAAGCAGAAATGAATGCTTCATGACTCTAGTTTATATACATCTAATTACATTTTAAATTAACCCAAAATAAAATGAACTGCTCATTTTTATATTTGAATTGTGACGTTCACAAATATCCTTGCTCAAATATTCCAATTTCACTGTACTACTGTATTGGAGTAATACCTTAAGTTTATCATAGGGGTTGTCAACAGATCAGAAAAATGCCTTTAGAATGCAAGTTCTATTGAATTTTCGATGTAATTTTATCTACATACAAAGCTCTTACCCGAATATTATTCCTCATCTTCAACCCTTTTTTTGGTCTTTTATTATCATTCTTTTCCTTTTCTTCTTGAATATCACCAGGATCTGGAGATCTGCAATAATTTGTATGCCAAGATAGAAGTAAAATTTTAACAACACACTTTTATCTTCAAGACATTTTGAAATTCAATTTTTACTTTTGGAGGTAGAACATGTATTCAATACAGATTTGTTCACAGTTGTATACAAACTGATATGAATTCAAATATTGGAAATTAAACAATCCTTTCTGATAACATATTTATTTTTAATACAGGTGACTACGTCATGAGATGAACTAGTGAAAACCATGAATACCTAAACTGAGACAGTAGACAGGGTATTCTTGTTGGCGTGGTAGGATTTAATGCAAAATCTTCTAGAAAACACTCAGAGTCGCTTCCCTTACTAGCAGTTTCTGCATCTAATAGTTCACGTAAAATTCTAAGTGTTCTTCTTCCCAATAATGAACCCCCATCTGATGCTGGCTGAAAGAACAAATAACATTAACTAAAACATTATAAATATAAGGTCTAATAATCTCAGCCGTTGAACTACATGCTAATCAACATGGGAAACGGTTGGATTTCACATTTCTTATATTATATTAGTTATACAAAAATCTTTGTGGAAAAGAAACATGTAAGTACAAGGACAAGGACAGTATCTATTGTAATCTGTGTATTAAAGAGAAATAATAACTAGTTCTGAAACTCAGATAAGAAGGGTATATAAAAAAAATGAGAGACAATGTAACTAATAAAAAATAAATACTCACCTTGTCTGGACTAACAAGATTATTTTTTTCTCTTTCATCCAGTTTTTTAGAAAGTCGGTTATGAATTGATTGTGAAATGGACTCTAAATCTTCTTCTTTTAAACATTTAACTTTACATTTCTTGATACAATTCTTAATATTTAGAACCACCCTTTTACAGGCTGACCTAAAAAAAATGTGAGAGTAGCATATGACTGACATACAAAAATTATACCACAAATTAGTGAAATATTTGCTAATCCAAAGCAAATCTTTCCAGTAATATTTGAAATCGAAAGTTAATATGATAAATACTTCTGTGTGAAATCTTGTCATTTTGAAATACAATACCTAATATCAGAATCTTCTTCTACAACACATTGTAACTTCTGAACAAACGTTATTAATTCTCCAATACCTTTAACAAAGGGTGCTAACTCACAATCCAAAGATGGAGCATGTGCTTTGCTTCCTAATCTTAATTTTATAATATGAGATACAGCAGTCTGAAATTGATATAAAGTCTTTGTAATGGTCAAAAAAAAACATTCAAATCTTGCACAATTTTCAGATTTATAATTCTAAGGAGTTCGCTTTTGGCCTCCATTCCCAAAACCAGCATGAGTCAACAAGGTTACTAGAAATAATACTTACTTGGTACATGGGAAGTTTTTTCTGTCGTGATGTATGTTTTAATGCTGTGAATGCTAAATGGCCTAATTCTCTATCAGGTATGTTAAATACTGTTGCTAATGACAACTCACTTCTGGTATTGACAAGTAATTCAATATAACATAGAAATACTCTCTCTATATATAGCTAAAAAATATAAACATCAGATTACTATTAAATGAAAAACTTCAAATTAACTTAAAGGGACATTGTAATCTTAATATCTTTGCTTTACCAGCTAATGAAACCCAATTTAAGCTATCGATATAACTTTTCATAAAATCTGACGGTTGTAATATGTAAGTTTAGACTGTTGTCACTCCCATGGCAGTAAAATATAACATATATGGTAAACCACATATTTCTACATCTGTATCCCTATGAAGATAAATACTAAGATTTCAAGCACACATGCATATAGAAATCAGTCGAATATCTGAGGCCTTGAAAAATGAAGTCAAGTTAATGGATATGGATATCTGCAAAAGATAAATGATTAAAGGTTCAGCCAAGATCATGTAGGAGACAAAAGTGTTGATTTGGGGTAATTCCATCTCTTTTGATTTACCTGAGAAGTAGAAGGTGATAAAGGAATTTGATAATTAATTGAAGTCAACCAAGTAATCTCCCTTGATTCTGACACAATATAACCTGAGATGTCTTTCTTTACTTCTTTCAAATTGTCAAAGTATAACAACTGTAACATCAAAGTCTGAAATAAAAATTTCATTGTATGCTTTACTGTTGTGTTTAAAAGAATTCAAGGTGAATAATATGCTATTATTAGGTTGAAACCTGGCACAATTTTTCTGATATAACCAAGTAAAAAAATGCATATTAAAACTTTTATCTCTTTGAGCAATCCTAACCTTTAGTCATGAGAGTCAAGATGAGAATTTCCAAATTAAAAAGTGAAAGTTGATTAGTTAAATATTCTCCTGTCAACAGTTTCAAACTCTTGAGCTTCCTTGTAATGAAGATTGAATTTCATAACTCTATTTCAATAAATACCTCTAAATTGTCTGTTGGTTCTCCAAAACATAAAATTCTGGTCGTCTTCAGATCTTTCAATAAATCTGATCCTTCATTCCCAGTATGGGAAATTTCATTAGCAATTTTTCGATAAATATCACACATATCACATTGGTTGGATTGCTTCAATAAATCTTCATATGTTTCAAGTACATTTTTCTTGTCTACATCTATCTCTTTGTCTGACTTCATTGTTTTGAATTTTTCTATGAATTTCATCATTTCTTGAATTTTGTCTAAGCTTATGACATCTTTAATCTAAAATAAATGGAGGTAGAAACAACATCAACTTAATGCAACTAAAATAAATGCTTCATTGTAAAGATATCATTTGACACATGTTGGCTACAAATATCCATATTCAAGCATTATATTACTTCTTGTCAATTGAATTGAATACCTACCTTGCCTAAAGATGACATAGCTAATTGTAGTGCTAATAAAGAATCTGGTAATGACAATACTGTGATTCTATCGTTCTGTAATAGTCTATACTCTCTACATAGACTTATAAAATATTCTCCTATAGTCATACAGTCAATAGGACACCAGTTTTTACTTCTGGTCTTCAAATATACTGGTTTTAATGAACCTGAAATATTCAGAGAAAAATCAAAGTCATACATCAGTTTTCTGTTATCGTTTACCATTTAGTCAAGCGAATTATCAACATGAAAAATTGATTTCAACTAAGCCTACTCAGAACGGCTCACTAAAATATTTTACAATTCTTGAATATTGTTTATGCAGACTTTCTTTTCACTATGCAGTTATCTATTTTACCTCCTTCAGTATTTCTGATTTCTTCTTCCATAAACTTAATGCCATCTTCAAATTGAATATCTTTATCACAACACAAATACATTTTCTGTCTTTAAGAATTCTATAAAGGTTCTTGAAATATGAAATATAGAGGAAATGAAACTACAATTAGTACACTTAATGTGTAGAGTTTGGCATAAATAACAGATTTACTCCTGATTTCTATGATAAGTATGCTCTGTTATGGCAAAATGAACATTCTTTATCCTTAACATTAAAGTAAATCTAGCTCTTAATATCTACTTCTATGCTACCCTATTGGTGCAAATAGATGGGGTACTATGTTCTGTCATTGGCCAGACTAAAATGTTTTTTTTTTGTAAGCTTATATGAGAATTTTCCCCATAACCACACCAACTTATAAATGCAGAATTTTTGGTATGCCCATCTTTAAATTAGCTACCCAGTACCCAGACCATCAATGAGTCCACCATCAACATCATGACATTACTGGATATTCTGAAATGTCCCTATTCCCCACATGGTCAAAATTAAGTGTTAACTCATCGAGTTGTATGGAGATTGAAGAAGAGAAATCTTAAAACATTATATTCAGATGAAAAAAAAATCACAAGCCCAAGGTACTATGAAAATGAAAATAAAATGATCCACATACGGACATAGATCTAGACTAAGTATCGATAGTGCAGTGGTCCCAAAGAATAATGAAAAATGTCAATCAATGAAAGAATGTTTTGAGAGAATGAGAAAATAAAATGAACCACGCAAGGACATAGATCTAACGAGAGTAAAAACTCCTTAATTTAATGGAACCTCGCTAAAAGTTATTCACCTAATCGAACTTATTGAGTTAGATCTAATCCTACTTAATAATTATGATCAAAATTAAATTTTTCGCAATGAATATTGTTTACTTCTTGAACCAATCAGGAACGGCACAGAGAAAGTTACCCAAAATGCAATTTCATCGAAACTGGAAGAGTTCCGGTAATAAATTTAAGGACCTCGACGGTCAACAACCCTCTTTCAAGAAATTTCCCAACATTACTTTCTACGATTTTGACACATTTATTTTTGCTTTGGCTTCGAGCATAGCCATTCACGAATCGTGAGCTAGCTATCCCGTTAGTGGTTAGGCGTGAAGTTATTCGGTAGTAAAAGGTCATAGATTTGATTATCAAGCCCTAAAAATGTAAATGGTTAGTGCTCAAAAACGAGCACCAACGACGAAATGATTGATATAAACAGATTTAGCATAATAAATTTAAAGCAAGAAAACCCAGAATTAGGTGGTGTAGAAAATTTTAGATGAGTAAGGTGCTCTCGTAAATTGTTAGCCGAATGATTGAAAGTCTCTTTGTTCACACTCAATCTATTGTGTAGAAACAAGAGATTTTCTTGACAGTCTGGATAATTAGAAAAATCATACTAAGGCGGTGAATACGAAAATAAACAGTAACTTACAGATAATAGTCTAACAGATATTTTGTTTTCAGTCATTTATAGGTGGGTAAATGTCTATAGGTGGGTAAATGTCTATCTTGATGGGTTTTTAGGCAAATAGGGCCCTATCATGAATATTTTGTAAATAAGATTAGCCTACTGTCTGTCTATGTCTACACTGTTTTCTGAATCAAAATTTGCCAATCATTCCCATATGAATTGAAATATGAACTAGAAAATACTTCTGAGAGTCTTACATTGTCTTTGGGTTGATGAAAATATCAACCATATCTAAAAATACTAGATAATGAAAGATTATCTATGGATTGGTGAAATGTGTAATTCTCACAGGAAACTTCTAGGGCCCACTAAGTCTAATATTTTTTATGGATTTGAAGACATTATAAGACTAATGAGTATGAAATTCTTGAATATGGTTGAGTCCATAGAAATATTAAGTTTGATGAAATTACAATATTTGTGAATGTATGTTTCCCTCTTAAGACAACAAAACTATTTGGAAGCTAAGACTGATTTCATATATGAACATATTGCAAAGCTACAGCACTCATAGCCTAGGCTTACACCAGTGTTCAGTAATATTAATTAAATATAAGCTTATCATGCTTCTTAATTTTAGATGTCAGAAACTGAAGTGCTATGGAAGTAGATTTAACATTAAGTGCTGAAGATGTCAAGTATGTATCAAGCTATTTATATTGTTGAATAAACTTGACTTATAAATTAAACCACATTATGATTTTTGTGTCATGTTCAAATTGTAGATAGACAAGTACCCAGACAACAAGTTGGATTACTTTTTTATACGCCCACATTATAATGTGTAATAAATAATAAAACTTGACATCAAATACCATCCTTTAATACCCAACGTTTCGTCAAAAAAGTTTTGACTTCATCAGGGGAAGAAACAAACTATATGTTTCTTCTCCTGATGAAGTCAAAACTTTTTTGAAAATTTATTAAAGATATAAGAAAATTTATGCTAATAAATCATTGAAGTGTTGATTCTAGCTAGCACATATAAATATGAATACCTCAACATTCCTTATTATTTGCATATTCTTAAATTTTCTTTAATTCATTTATTCAGCAAACCTAACACCTGCCACCTATTGTATGTGCTACACTTATATAATAGGATATAGCCATTAAGTAATTGCTTTACCAGTTGATGAAATAAATTGTCAGCTCGTAATAGCCTACTGTCAGTTTTGACTTCATCAGGTGATGAAGTCAAAACTTTTTTGACGAAACGTTGGGTATTAGAGGATGGTATTTGATGTCAAGTTTTATTATTTTTTCACCAAGTTCAGTATACATCAAATGAATCGCTGTACTACTAGTGGTATTGGTGATCCCATCAAAAAGTCTTCTGTGATTGGTTATTGCTGCCTGTTTTTTCTTTTTGGAATCACCACATTATAATGTGGTCGTATATTGTCTTCGCCGTTCGTCCATAATTAGACGCAATAGAGATAACAGTTTTTATACGCCCACACGTAAGATGGGCGTATATTGTAATCACCCCGTCGGTCCGTCGGTCCGTTCACATTTGGCTCGTGCTCACTCTACAGGCTACAATTTTTTACAGATTCTTTTGATTTTTATTTTGTGTGTCAATGTCATTATGAAGATGATCCCTATTGATTTTCGTGATGATCGGATAATTTTTCACCGAAATATCGTGTCTGACTTGACGTTTTTCTCTATTAGCTATATTGTGCAACTCGTGCTCACTCTACAGGCTACAATTTTTTACAGATTCTTTTGATTTTTATTTTGTGTGTCAATGTCATTATGAAGATGATCCCTATTGATTTTCGTGATGATCGGATAATTTTTCACCGAAATATCGTGTCTGACTTGACGTTTTACTCTATTAGCTATATGTGCTCACTCTACAGGCTACAATTCTTTACAGATTCTTTTGATTTTTATTTTGTATGTCTATGTCGTTATGAAGATGATCCCTATTGATTTTCATGATGATCTATCGATTTTCATGATGATTGGATAATTTTTCACCGAAATCTCGTGTCTGACCTGATGTTTTACTCTATTAGCTATATTGTGCAACTCATGCTCACTCTACAGGCTACAATTGTTTACAGATTCTTTTGATTTTTATTTTGTATGTCAATGTCATTATGAAGATGATCCCTATTGATTTTCGCGATGATCGGATAATATTTCACCGAAATATCGTGTCTGACTTGACGTTTCACTCTATTAGCTATATTGTGCAACCCTGAAGTCACTAAAGACTGTTTAATCATTTCTGACAGCTGCCAGTGGGCGTATGTTACCTTGCCTGGCAAGCTATCTTTATCTCATTTTAATGAAATTTGGTGTGATCATTTATATGGATGAGATCTTGTACATGTTAGAATTTGATGATCTTTCGATGAAAGGTTTTTAAGTTATTGCCCTTAAATGCGTCAAAATTTGTTTGGGAACAAAATAGAGTCTACAGTTTTCATTCGATTTAAATGAAATTTGGTGTGATCATTCAGAGTGATGAGATCTTGGACAAGTTCGAATTTGGCTATCTTTCGATGAATGTTTTTTGAGTTATTGCCCTTGACTAGGTGTGATCAATTATAATGATGAGATCTCAAACAAGTTCGAATTTGACGATCTTTCGATGAACGATGAGTTATTGCCCTTCACTTAAAAAAAAATCGGTCAAAATTTGTTTGAACACAATAGAGACTAAGTTTTCATCCGATTTAGATGAAGGTTGTTGTGATCATTTATAATGATTACATCTTAGTCAAGATTGAATTTGACGATCTACGGAATTTGAGTTACTGCATCAAAATTTGTTGGCTTGTTAATGCGATAGAGTGACAGTTTATGTCAAAATAAATTTTGTGTGTTTGATTTAATCAACAATATTTTGCACAAATTAGATTTTTGGTTCGACTTGACGCAGATTGGTGACCACCCTTGATATACTGAAAATGTATCAGGAAAGTGGGCGTATCTTGCTAGGCAACCACTTGTTCAAAATAATTATGCGAAAAAATAAGCAAATTTTAAACTATTATTTAAGCAGTCATGATTTTGGTGTCGCATATATTAGGTGCCTGTCTCAATAATGTATAGAAATGTAGACCTTAGTCGCAATTACTATTAATGTTTTATTTTTAGTCCATTGGAAGAGGCATTATATAGTTTGCCCCTGGTACGGTTAGCAGGTGAATTTGATCCTGATGTCATTTCTCAATTAGCTGCTTTAAAAGAGGTAAGATAGATTTTGCATTTGATTAAAATATAGTGCACATTGTTCATTTGATAAAGCTTGTGTACTGCTTTAATATATCAATACAATGTTGCAGAATTTATTTTCATTGCGACATGGCAGGATTTCAAAGATGAGCCTTTATGATGGAGCAATCCTAGCTCAAGAATGTAGAATTGTTTTCATTGTTTGTCTATTTCCCTTATATCTTATCTTTGGTCAAAATGAGCTCGGAAACAGTTAGATTTTCAAATGTTTTGAATAATAATGTTTTTCCCTTTCCTACGTGCTCCTAGATTTAAAACTAATATTTATTTCTCTTATATTTAGAGAAAAAAGGATGCCAAAACATGTTTCATTAACACATTATATAATAAAAATGTTTTGGAGGCCATTAAAAATGAAAAGGAAGTAAACCAAGCCGGTGAGTTGATAAAATAGACATGCACGACAGGTTAACGGGTCTTGTGGAACTACCTCTATATTTCTATAATTCTTTGTAGAAATTCTTTTAATTTTAATTATGAACAAATTTAGTTATTTTTTACTCTGCACAAAATTTTGAATCCAAAGTGTTAATTGCTATTTATTATCCCATATGAAACTGTTGTAAATATTTCCTCTTAGATTACAACTTTATTTTGTTTTCAGATGAAAAGTTAAAAGCAACTATGAAAGAGTTGCAGAAGTCCACATCAGACCTTGAAAACTCTCTACAGAATATTCATTCATTGTGTGAAACTTCGGACCAAGGTAATTCAATTGTTAGTTTTAAAGGTTATTTTTTTGAAAGTGTTGTAAATGGTTAGAATTGTTCCGACAAGTCTTGAAACTCCATTGACAAAATTCCAGATGTCAACACTCTTATAAGTCAGCCCAGAGTATATTGTCTCCCTTTAAAATGCACAAAAAAATGAATCTGATTTTGGGATATGGTTTCTTGAAGTTATGTCTGTAAAGTATTAGATTTTAGTTGAAACAGAAGTTTACTTTCTACTTTCTTTTTAATTTAAAATGATTCTTATTTTTCCATTTTAGCATTTAATTTGATAAAGACTAAAATAACCGAGTTGGAGACAAAATCCTCTTATCTGGAGGAAAGGGTATGTCATTCTAAGTTTGTATTCATATTTCTCCATGATATGACAAAGAATAAAAAGATGACAGTATCGATTGCATCAAAATCTAAATCTGAAGATCTCTTGATGCTATTTTTCTGGATGGTGGTGGGGAAAAACTGTGTGACAATCTGTTTATATCCTTCCAGAAAAAAGTTCTTGAGAATTTGAAAAATGTCCAGAACCAAAATAACAAAGATAAAATCAGCAAGGAAGAGAATGAAAAGAGACAAAAAGAGGTAAGCTTTTACTCCCATTCTCTCTCTCATTCTTAAATGGATGTTTGATTTTCAGTCCCTTTAAAGACTTTTAGTTCATTGAGATTTCATGTGATGTTCTTACATAGTTATCATCTTTGTTTCTGACAAAACAAATATGTCCAATTTCTTGTTACACATCATGGTACAATTCAGAACAAAAATCAGTATTCAAATATTTTTTGGGTCGGATAAGTAGTAATAAGCAGTGGCTTCTATTGTATTCTTTACTACTTTACCTACTTAGAAATAATATAGACTGCTTTGAATTGTACCCAAATGTGCTCAAATATCTATAATCTGTCAAAATTAATTACCAGGTAAATGCATTTTGGGAAGTCAGTAAGTTGTTTGTGCTCTTTCTTTATGTTACATTTCAGATTATGGATGTAATAGGTAAAGTTGAAGAGAACATAAAGCTACAGAAACTAAAGATAAGGAAATATGAAATGAGTATTAGTAGAGCTGAAGAAAGAATAGAGCTATTAAAAAATATCAATTCTGAAGAATCAGTTTATATGTTTGATCAGCAGAAATTAGAAAGGTAATTTCTACTTACTTTTTTTATTGTTGATAATTCAAATTTTACTGAGTAATTGTGTGTAAAGTTGATTTTAGCCTTAAAACAGTCTAAAATGACTTGTCTAGTAGAGAACTATGAAACCTTATATTTGAAATAAACAGATTTTCCGTTGAAAAATTTCAGCCAAAAATCTAAATTTTTACTGAAACTTGCCCTTTGTAAAAGCAAACTAAGGATTCCTTCTGTTTCCATTACAGTCACAGACAGCTACTACATCATGTGGAATCTTTGGGGGAGAAAAATATCAAAATAATGTCTGACAATCAAATCCAGATAGAATTTAAAAATACAACAATTGAAGGAGATAAAGACAAGCCTACATTGATATTAACTGTAGAATTTAAACAGGGATATATGAATACTTCAGTACTAGCCAATGCCATGGTAGGTTGTTTAAAGAGAAACATGGCATCACTATTGCAGCCAATCCATTTACTATTTGCACTTAAGTCATAATTTGACAAAAGTTTTTTGTAATTTAAGTTGATCTGGGCACTATACCAGCATCTTGATAAATACCGGTATAGGAATTTACATCTTTAGTACTACTGAAATATGGTAATTATCATGATAAACAGTCAATCAATTTGTCCATAAATGATTTAAAAACAATACTTATATATAAGCATAATTATGGTGAAATATTACTGATAAATATTGTGACATCTGCTTAAACCAAGGAACCACAGACAGATAGGAAAGGAAATTCAAAAGGTGTAAATAGAAACTGTAGGCTTTTCAATTATTTATGTATAGGCATCCCTCAAAGTTGTAATTTTACAGTGGTTATGGGTTTCTTATATTTTTAGATTAACAACCCATCATTAGATGTAAATGATATTGTAGAGGATTGTGTTAGAAATAATGATTTAAAAGGTTTAGTTTCACAGCTAAAAACGAGGTGGTATTCACATGTACCGTTGCTTACAGAAATAACTCACTTACAAAACAGGTAAGATTCCCAGAATTTTAGAAATCATTGCAAGTAGAACATCATATTGAGCAGTTTGCTACTCTAGATGTGCTGAACTCGGAATTAGCATATAAACTGCTCTATATGGAGAAAACAAATTGTCTTTCTCTAAAATTTATGATTTGAAAATTGAGATTTATGATTAACATAGATAGATAGGGGTTGAGTGAAATGATATTTACAGAACCAGTGATCTTGGTATAATTTGTATTTATTTTATATCATTAAACCTTTGAAACTAATAAAGCTTTTAAAAGCAACAGTAATTTTGAAAAGTAAAATTGTTTTGTAGTTCTGCTATAGATTGGATACAAGAAGATAGTTTATTAAGAGTAATGGTAGGAAAAGGTGGTAGTGTGGTGTGTACCTTATCTATCCCTTTTAACTATCCATTACATGGTTCTATACAGTTGGTAGATATTAGAGGTTGTAAAGCAGAGGCTCAACAAATACAGGTAACTAACTCAATATCTCTCAAGTGGTGATACAGTAAGTTAAAAGCCGCCTTCTGGTTGGATCCTTTAAGAATTCCTTCAGTTATATCAAACCCAGTTTTCCCTTGAAAATGTTACAGCTGATATGACCAAGCATACATGCAAGTAGCACCATGCCAACACCCCACCAAGAATAGTATGCTATGAACTGCATATGTTGGAGATGCTTCTAATATTTGCAAACTGCCATTTGTTTAAGACAATACAGAATAGGAAAAAATTAATTCCTGTTTGAAATTGATGTCATACTTCTAAAGTTTTTAAACTTTAGATACAGGTTTGTATGAAATGTTTCCCTTTATTTGATTGCAGACAACAACAGATTGCAAAGCTCTTGAAGAATGGGTAGAATATTTGGAAGGAAAGTTTGGAAAACCTTGACATATGAATTTGTATCATTTCAAGGACAAATAAAAATTTGTATATAGTTAATTCTCATTTACTGTGTCAAATTTGATTTTGTATTACATAGTGCTATGTTTTCTGAGCTTATTTTATGCTATAGCGACTCAACTACCATTTTGTTCATTTTTCTTCTGCCATAGATTTTTATATGGAAAGAAAATCAAAACATATGTTATGTGGATAAAGATTATAAAACCTCTCATTAAGTTTGTGAGAAATAGTTCTAGTTGTAAGCATTTGATAGTGGGTACTTTAATTGTCTACCAAAATTTTCAACATATAAGTTCGCTTTGTACCCATATAAGAAAACTCTTGTGCTTGTATTGTTTATTGTCAGTATAATAAGAGACAAACTGGTGAAATACATTTTCTACTTTCTCACATTTGCAAAATTAAACGAAAGAGAACACAGGTGAGTTACAATGACTAAAACCTCTCAAGTGAACAACCATAACAGAAAATACAAAAACACAAAATCATAATAATTTCCATAATAAATAATAGCACAACTTGTAATGCCCTAAAAATAAATACATACAGTAATTAACAACCTTGAATATAACATTTCACACAATGATGCAAGTTCTCACAATTATGAAAAATCATGAAATCATGATAAATTCTTGCACTCAAAAACATTTTTCAATGCAACCTTTTAACACAATTCTAAAAATTACCGTAAAATTGCCTATTCTACTACTGTGTGAATCACAACAAATATACTGTATGTGTCCTTAAAGTATAGAGATGATTCTGTGGTCCTCTAGGAATATAACTCGAAGTAACATATTACTCTGTCAAAATGAGTAAGCACCCTCTACTGGTACAAAAATATAAGTACCAAGAATAATTAAATCACATTTATGCAATATTGTCTTCTTGGTACTAATTAAACTAGATTATAATTCAGTTATCAGATGGCTGTTTCTATTGATATCTGACTTATGAGTTGTAAATGATTTGGTATCAGATATAGTTTGAGGTAATGGTTGTCTATTAGTTTCTGGTAGAGTCATAACAAGAAAACCACCAATTATTGTAGCACTACTAAAGGCAATCACAGGAATAATGGGCATTTTCTTTGCCTGAAAAATAAATGTGTATTGTTAAAGTGGAATCAATCTTTTCTGGTCTAGCACAATTGGTAGTTAATTAAACTAAACGCAAAATAGACTATGCAGGAAAAACTGCCACAGTTGCTGATAAGAATACTATAATAATCTAACCAAGCAAAGTGTCTTCAGATGTGAAGACACTTCTAGACAATCTTTACTGCCAAACTTGGTCACATTTTCTTAATATCTGCTTTCAACATCTTGTGAATGTGTGTAATTGAGCCTTCAATCATATTATTGCATGTTTTCTAAATCTTGGGTTAAATAAATGACTTACTGCATAAATGATAAAAGGTGCACCTACAGCACCAAGGTTTTCAAAGAATGAAGCAATACCCATTGCAAGATTTCTAATAACTGTAGGGAATAACTCGGCAGAATAAAGATATACAGTAGCATAAGATCCTGTTATAGCAAATTTACTGATCATAAATAATGTTGTTTTCAACCATTGTAAACTAATACCACTTTCTGAAATCAAACAAGGTGAAACAAATATTCAAACTTTCTCATGAAAAGGTTCATGAATACTCAAACCAAACCTAATTAACATCAGTGGATACACTAGGGACTTATATAGCACTTTCAATATGTTAAATTTGAATTGTATATTCTAAAACATTACCAAGGAAATGTGAACTGAAAATGTGTGCTGACAAAATACGTACATGTGTATAAAAACACTCATGAATTTTTATACCTATGAGTAATGTGATAGACAGTTTTACCTGTTGATGAAGGACATAAAGCCGCAGCTATGGTTGACATGGCACATAAAAATAAAAATATCATTAATGGTATCTTTCTTCCAATTCTAAAATGTAAAATAAAATGTCACCTTTTAATAACACCAGCAGATGTCACTGAATCTGTCGACTAGACATCCCTTACAAAAAATTTACACTACTAATAATTATACATGTAATGTAGTATAGCCATTGGTACTTACCGTGTTATAACAAACATACATATAATATGAGCAGGTATTTCCACTAACCCACTTAGAAATAAGTTAAGAAATATATCACCATGTAATACTGGCATACTAAATGAGATTCCCATATAAATTAAACTGTTGACTATACTGAAACATTAAAATACAGAGAGGTTGCTAGACATGATAATATACATCCACATAGTAACTGAATTTCATGACATAAATGTATAATTTTTGATGCACTACCAAAGAAAACATCAAATTGCTAAAATGGTACTTCTATCAAAAATAAATGTTTCCATAAAATCTAAAGAAAATCCATTAATTCCATGCTCAATTGTCTTTCTGAAAGGGTATCCCTTCACATTCTGCATTCTAAAATCATTAAAAACTAATGATAAATAAACTTACAATAAATATATAATAACTAAGGTATAAAATCGAGTATTTTTCATACAAAATAAATCATGGATGGAATTCTTAATTTCACCAGTTATATAATTGTCTACAGGTTCTACATCTTGTTCTTGTATACAACTTTCATTACCATTCCAGCTATTTCTTTCTTCAATTTGTGAGGTATGTTGATTTAATTGCTGTGCCCAGTTTAAAACTGTGCTTGCTTCACGATATTTACGATTTGCTACTAACCATGACAACGATTCTGGTAAAAACCTATATCAAGTGAATCATACAATTAAAAGGTTATCGCTTTGTTATCTTACTCATACTAGTATTCAAAAGAAATATCTTGTCATTATTGAATGTTTGGATCTACCTACAGAATGAACAAAGATATTAACATCATATAAAGAGCTTCCTTTCCGTTGTTGTATGTACACTGATTTTAAATGTTTACTGACTGAGCTTCATTTGGAACAGAGGTGTATTAATGTGTATGTATTCATAAATAAATAAAAAAGACTTACAGGACATATATGACAATAATGAAGTTTGGTAGAGATATAAGTAATTGAAGATGTCTCCAGTTTCTAATTAAATAACCAAATAAAGCTAGTAACATTATTCCTGTAGCCCAAGCTATCTGTATACCAACAGATGGTATTGTTCTCACTGAAGCCTGATATGATTCTGTTATCATTACAAATACTGTTAATCCAATACCCTGAAATATAATAAGTTATATCATTGACAAATTTCTAATTCCATGGATGTATTATTGCTTTGATCGGTTATTTACAGTTTAATGTGGGTAAGTGATGTGCTGAAGGGGAAACTATGTGCAAGAAATTTTGACTTGTTAACAGGTACTTTGGAGAAAATATAACTTTGGCATTTAATCGATTATGAAATTTGATGATCAAACATCAAATTAAAAATTCCTGGAGACAATAATCGATTATTTCAAATACTTTACCCAGCCCTAGTCCTAATTAGATTATAGAAGATTGGGGGACACTACATTTCTACTTTTGAAGACCAATATTTTCAAGAACAACAAACAAAAACCTCTTAAAACATGGCAAATTAAATTTGTTGGTAACAGCTGAACTTTTATCCGAAGAGATGGTCTGAATTTACGATTACATCCAGTAAATTAAACAATTTATTGTGAAAGTAAATAGTTGGTAATAAAATATAATTAAATTAGAGTATAACATTTTTTAGCGTTAAAACAATCAAATAACGTGTGTAGGTCTATCTATTTCAATTTTCAGGCGAGGAGGCTAGAATGAACTATTTTATGGTTCCTTAATATCAAGTTTTGATCAAGATATTTTGATATAGGTTCCCCTATTCCACAAACATTCTACAGTTTTGAGACAATAGTGAACATACTCGATTGTATATTCAATTGTATTGGATATTGTAAATAAACTTATTTATAATACATTTAAGAAAATAATTATTAATAATAAATATTAAAAGTTTAATTTTTTCTTTTAAAGCTGCCTTTCTTTGATTGACAAATAATATCTGGACTATTCCATCTTAAAGTCTGAGGTAACAAGCATAAGGGCAATTGTGCATTTGTGTCTAAGTATTGGGTTGTCTAACTAATGGAAAGACACAGTTAAATAACATGTCTTCATTATTATAGATAAGCATTAGAAGCCCAATGAAGTGTATAGTGTACTGCAACTACAGATTTCTACAATTTCTCTCTGACTAATTCTATGAATGCCGAAAAAACAATAGTAAGATGTTTCAAGAAATCTTACCATATTCAAAAGTCCAATAAAAAATCTCATTATAGTAAATAATATAAAGCCATTTAAAAATGCCACGCCAACACCAACAAATCCTTGTATCAATAGACAAACAATAAGTAATTTCTTACGACCATATTTATCTGAGAAATATGTCAAGCCTAAAGCTCCACAACCAGTTCCTATCATATAGATGGTAGTTGACAATTCTATTTTATAATCTTCATCACATACAAGATTCCACTGAAATTATAATGTTTTTTAACACCTTATAAAATATATACAGCAGATTTTGTTTTTGTTTCCATGTCTGTAATCATATGATCCAAACCAAAGTTAATTGATCAGTGGGTCCAAGGTATCACAACTACCGTTTTCTTTTGCTTTTAAAACAAATAACAATATATTTTGAAAGTTTAATCAAATATTAAAATTTGTTGATTTTCGTCCAAACAAACTGTTATCTCCTCTTCATAGAATCTAGACCGAAACATCGTGTCTCTCAATGGCGTCGATAGAGAGTCAGAATATGAATATATCTTGAAATAGTGCAACCAATTTGGCTGCATTGGAATATTCTTTTCCTTGAAGTTTGTTTTCCAAAAAATTAAATATATACTGAATAATATTGTCATTGCCCTTATTCTTGAAAACGTGTTCAATTTTTAGCTTGTGAAAACTCTAGGAGGCAAATATTAAACCTTCAGCGCAGTACTGAAAACCAAGTTTTGTCAAAATCCGGCCAGAATCTGCCTTTTAGTGTTTTAGAGCTAAAATTTGAAAGAAATTTTCAAGAATGAGGTCAATAACTCCTATGAAACATTTTTCGATTTTTTTTGGTTCATCCTTGGGTGTTAACACTCACACCAAAATATGTCAAGAATTATGCCTTCTAGAGTGTTTGCGAGCTAAAAATTGAACGCATTTTCAAGAACAAGGGCAATAACTCATACTAAATATTTTTTGATTTTTCTGATTTTCAATAGGGTTTATCCTTGGATGATAACAAATACTCATGCCAAGTTTCGTCAAAATCGGTCAAGAAATGTGCCATCTATAGTGCTTACAAGCTAAAAATTGAACGCATTTTCAAGAACAAGGACAACTCATACTGAATATTTTTCTTCTGATTTTCAACAGGGTTCATCCTTGGGTGATTATGAAAACTCACACCAAGGTTTGTCAAAATCCATCAAGAATTGTGCCTTCTAGAGTGTTCACAACCAATTGTGGACGGACCGACGGACATGGGTGTCAGCAATATATGCCCCCCATTTCATGTCTCTAAAATATGTACATGTATTTAGATTATTTAGATTTCGGGAAAGGGAGGGTTTGATTCTCCCAAATGTACCGGCCTAGGTTGGAGCAGACACTTTATTTAGAAATTAGGATTAAGGGTCTTGATATTGGGTTTTCTTCTGTTCCGATAATAATGCTTGCCTGCTTCATGAGCATAGTTACTAACCTAAACTCAATGAACAAGGATTTGGAAAAAGCTACAAAAAGGTAGTTTTAGAGAAGATCAAAAGGAATTTCTTACATCTGTGACAATCGTAGATTGAAACTGGCTGCCATATTGCCATCCATCTTCGCAGCTGCGTATAACACTGTTGTTGATGTCTTGATAATATGTGACAGTACAGGAATCAACTGTAAAATTATTGTCAGCTACATTGTTTGTGGTGTTTGGCACTGAGCAAGAATGACCTGGGTCTGCTGCCAAGTACACAGGAGCAAACACATGCCAAGCTCCACGTAGGTATATTAAACCAAGGCCTAAAAACAAGACTGTATGGTAACATCCACATTTTCCTAGACTTTGCAATTTCAAATCTGCCTCCATAGCATCATGTTACCTAAAAATTAAAGTAATATAGCTTGCTAGGCAAGGTAATATACGCCCCCCTGGCAGCTTTGATTTTAAATAAAAATATTTGGCAGCATACCAAGTTTCTTCGAAATCAGTAAAGAATTGTGCCTTCTAGAGTGTTTACGAGCAATTGTGGAATGATGTCTTATGATCTAACACCAATACATCACAAATATAATTATACCTATACCAGTGTCTAGTGGCCAGTGGCCTAGTCTCTGTAGATAACATTAATAACCTTTTTCTACTTGTTGCAAAGCTCAAATTCAAACTTACATCATCAGTATGGAAGTTGGAGCTTTTTATTCAATGTTATTCACTGTTATCTTTTAATTCTTTTTTATTTAGTTTTATTTCTAAATTCTTATCTCTTAATTTATATCCTGAATTGATTTTGCACCTGAATTCAACATTTTTTGATCAAATAAAAATAGCTCAACATATCTTCAAACACAATTTGTTAAACAAAAAACTCAAGGCTTGACCTATGACAGGATCTGTTGCTGTAGAACACTACAAGCATCATTAAATAAAGTGATTGTCTCTGTTGATACCTTCTGCCCACTTTATTTCAACACAAAATAAAACCTGTTAAAGGCTAGCACACACGAGAGCTCCCAGATGAGCAAAATTTCATTGACCTGAGCTTTACCTTAGAGCTTTCGTAAACTGGATGTTGAGTCATAGACGTCTAAAAATAACTAGATCACGTGACATTCTCAGTGACTTAAACAAAATGTCGGACGTCGGCAACGACAACCGTGCAAACGATTCAGAATATGAAGAAATTTTACTTCTCTCTGCTATCTCTGTTTTTAAATTGGGGGATCCATACGTCGTACAGACACGGATATTCTGGCCTTACTTCCACCAACTTGTCTTTGATAATTGCTTCAGATACAAACTCGCATTCACATTAGAAATACTGGAATAATCATTATCATGTTAAACCATACATAAAATTCAATTTTTTTAACTGAATGGAATGATTACTATCGTGCCAATAGTTAGACGGAAAATGACTTAATGTAAATGTAATGTATAATTAAAATGAAGGGATTTGGAAAATTTCCCCAAATAAAGTCTAATACGTGGGTTATTGTACTACAAATCCAGCCGATTTTTAGTATTGTTCCCTCCAGAATCTACTCCATCCCTTTTGTTTCTGGCATTTACCCCTAAGAAAATCAAAAGAACTGTTCCTTTTTTTTCTCATTTGCCCAGCAGCACTATTTTATACCTTATATCATGTACTGTCTGTCTTTAACAATATTTTGGTGAAACAAAAACAATTAAAGAACATGATTCAATGGCCATAGATTTGATATAAATCATAATTTTGACAAATCTGTTGCTAAACATTTCAACCATTCAGATCACACTATGAATAATGTCCGAATTACAATTTTCATTGAAAATATTCATGAACAAAACGATATCCCAACAAGAACCTACAGGCCTCTTCGAGAAAATTTCTGGATAAACAAATTCAAAACAATACAGCCAAATGGTCTTAATGTCCAAGTGGATTATCAAATTGTTCCATTTGTTGTACTTTTCAATAGCACAGCTTGTCAAGCCATACCAATTATCAAGGAGATGTACAGGGAACTACAACAAAAATTCCCTGATATATTTAAAAAAGTTTTAGTTATTCCTTTTGAATGCAATACGAATCTTAATGATATTTTAGTCCTTGGTAGACTTAAACCCATAGCTCCATTGAACTTTAATATCAATATTTGTGATCATATATATATTTTTTTTACAGACTATTGGTTCATCTCCACTTTAATTCAATACTCTCTCTTTAGTTCATAGGTTGTTGGTTACAGAAACAGAAAACGACAAACTTTATTCACATTAATATATATACTCTATTATTTTAGAATCATTTAATTTATAATAAGTATTACTTTATAATTTAATTTCATTACTCTCTAAAAATCACGTTGCCGGAGCTGAATTTCACCTCGGCCTGTGCTTTACAACCACTCTTACCTAAGGAAAACTATTCCCTGGGGATCTCCGTCACCTGTAGCTGAATAACATTTTTTGATCGTCACTACTATAATAGAATCAATTAATCATACACTTACGTTTTAAATGCAGGTGGTCAGGAAAATTCTATGCAAATTTAATTCCCAAAGCAGCATACTTTTAAAATAGTTAGCTTTCACAGTAAACCATTACCTAGTTGGCCTGGATGATATAGGTTATTTATAATCAAATTCGTATTTTATAGGGATTCAATCCGATTGTACAGCGACATCTGTAGTCATAATCATGACCTTCAAATATAATTGACATCGATTTGGAGAAATGTTTTAGACATTTGTTGGTGGAGTTTTTGCGTTTGACTAATTGCATTTGAAGATATGTGAATTTAAATTTGTATTTAGACATTTGTATTTGAAGATGCTATGCATATGCTAGATTTGCATATGTAGATTTATTTGGACATTTTTTTGGCAAGATTGATGACAAACCCAGTGTTTATTGAAGAATGTTAATATTAAGTACCGTACAATTAAGGGGCAGACAGACCCTGGCGGAACAAATGCGCGGGTCGAATTAAAAATGAAATAGCTCCCATGGAGCATGTTAGAGCAAGCAATTTATTGAAAAATCGAATTTTTATATGCGTTCCAACACATATTTTGCAGCAAAAGTGTGTATTATTCATATTTTGTTGAATTTAGCATACAAATATAGGCTACAAAACTGTAGGCTACTTATGTTGTAAGTTTTTAATGAAAATTGCCCTCTGTCAATAAAGTAGGCCTATATAGGCATAGGAGTACCCTACCTACTCTACAGTCTACTAGTACTCGCTGTTGGAAACTGTCATTAGTCATAGCTAGCCCTAGCCTAGGCCAAGGAACGCATGTATGAAGGCTTTATCTATCTATTATAATAGTTATCAATTTAACCTTAACTATCTTCTATACTGTCAGAAACTTTAGGTATAAAGTTGCTAAAGAATGATTGACTGTCATTTTGCAAGTATTCTGTATAATTATTATCATTATTGTAATTTAGCGAGTGTTCGGTAGTCTAAAGACTTTTTGGCTCTTTCTTTTAGCTCAAGTCATAGAAGCAAGTACTTGACTTCAATGGTCAAAATCTCTTTAAGTCTAAAGACTTTAATGCAATGGCCTAAATAAATAGACGTGTCTTTTTAAAGAGTATAACAAAAGTTACCATTCAAGTTATGTCGAAAAACGATTAGATCTACCTTGAAATTATCAGCGTGGTTTCATCATTCGACATTTCTTTTCTTGTGGTCAAAGGGAAATAACTTTGATATATTTGTAGTCTGTCGTTTTTCTTATCGCCATCTGCTGAATATGGCTGAATATAGATGACTGATCGATATCGTGCATTCAGGGGAAAAAAGTACTTGTGATTTTGAAATCTACGCAAGATTTCTACAATTGTGAAAGTAGGACGTAAAAATCCATTTCATTTTTTTTTTACAGTTATTTCAAAATCAGACTGCAAAATTGTTTTCAGATTTTTTTTTGTATGAGACGAGAAGACTGTTGTTTTACTAGTCTACAGTTTTATGTTCAGACCATACCAAACTTTCACTCATTGTGCACTGTGCTGGAGAAAATATGGTGAAATTAGGATACATACCCTTCAAATTCCTTGGCTATGGATCCAAAGAATTGTAGCCTAATGCAGAAACGGCAAATATATTTTCTCTCAAAACCTGGACCAACAGCTATCAATGAGGTAGACAGGAAATTACCACCTCTTCGTATGGCGAAGCAAGAGTTACTTTATCTTGTACCCAAAACGCCAATACGCAATATAGAAAAAAAAATTATGAGGGTGTTTCAATGTTAGCTTTGGCTTTAAGGCTCATATAACCTTCACCCTGAAGGTTTATTCGGTACTTGAAGACATCATCAAAATCTTGTTCATGATAGAATATGTATTTCAATCTAATGTGTTTAGACTCTACAATCAGCAAGGGTTGGTTAAGGGTATGTGTATAACAAGAAAGTCTTCTGAATTTCTTGCTAATTAACTATGCAAGCAAGATGTACATTATGTTCATTCACAATATGAAAAAACTGAATATATAGTCCACTTGTTTAGTTACATGACATTTTTATTGATTACATAATGAATACAAAAGAATACGACTGAGCAAATAAATGAGATACAAATAAAAGGACAACTATTTAAAAATTTAAAAATCACAAAAATGTACCATTTTCAACAAGATATATTTATATAGACAATTTCTTTAGTGACTAAGCTTGAGGAGGAGAATATGTTATAATGTAGTTTATTTTGGATCATGCACAGTAAAATTACTCTCTTAGCAAAAAATCCAGAGACAGAGCCACAATTTAACTAGATCCATAATGACACATATAGTGAACAAATACAATTTGATTAAATGTCATTTATCCTGTTTTAATGTATGCAAATGTTGTTCACAGAGTAACAATCCTATTTCAAATCTCACGACAGTCATGGTAGAGTAGATGCCTTTTTCAGCTATGGCAAATTTTCCATCAACTGCAAAATTTCATGCCTTAAATTGATTTTTATGATTGCAGCTTTTTTTTGCACAACCCAGATTGATCCTCTTTTTGATTCACATCTTATGATTGTGACTTTGTATATTTGCTAAACTAAAGTACAAATATCTTAGAAAATATTGCACTTTAAACCAAACTTTACAAAATGTGAAATTTAAATCGAAGTTTGGCGATAAAAACGTAGAACACTAACACAATGAAATAAAATATCACCATTTAAAAGGTGATCTGAACGTTAGGCTGTTGTACATGAGTTATATATTAGTATTTGATAAAAAGACACAAAATAAAAGCATAGTAGAACTGTTTGTTTTATGCTTACTTAGTACCTATACATAGTACTTTATATTCTTTCACATACTGACTTAGTTCTATAAAATTGCACATCCACCTTTCTCTTTGAATGGGTTATCACTAGGCTTGGGGAATCCCTTTATCAAGACATCTTCTTCAGCATAATTGTCACAGTATTTAACTAGATCTTCAATACATTGGGAAACTCTCATTCGGGTGATCTGAGCTTCACACCTCAACTGTTCAATCAGACGCCTCTGTTGTTGGAGACCTTCTTGTAATTTATTCATTGTGTTGCTGCAAAGTAAAAATTAACATGGTTAAAAATACAAAAAAGAATGTACACTCAAATTTCTTCATCTCAAATAAGAATTTTACCTACGCTTGGTTTTCATTAAAATCCACATCATCTGTTTTTGTCCTTTTTCTTTGAGATCGAGCAAATTCTGCAGCATCCATTTTGAGTTTTAATACGAGATAACTGAAGATGTCAAACAGTTGTTGAAGAAGTTGATAAAGTGAAAAATATATAGGTTGTTCTATCGTATAATTGAATCAAAAATCATATTTACTCTATGTATCTTAATACAGAAATCAACCAACCATGGGGTTAAAATGCCTAGGGTTGACTTCTCATTAATAATACTAGAGTCTCAGTTGTGAGAAAAAATGTTTTTTTAAGGATCACATGTAAAGCAAAAGAAAAATGATAATGTCTCCCTAATGTTTGTTACAGGCCAATACATGGAAATTGTTGAGTATCACTGTCTTAAATATTGCAGTACAGTTAGATATGGATTAGTTAGTGAGATAGATTGTGATCTGCTGTGTCAATTGACCCCAACATCTGTACAGTTCCCTACCAATATTTTCAAAAGATATGGGGTGTGACAGATTTTAAATTCAGTGACCATTCTATTTGGAATCTTAGTAATAAATTAGATATATTTCGTGTTAAGAGCTTTTTTAGATTTGCATCAGATTGGCTTAGGAGTAACCTAAAGCAAATAGTTAAAAGTCATGGCCTTTTGTACGTTATATTGAGAGATAATATAAGTGGGCTTTCAAAACATATCTTTAACTCAATCATTAATATCAAGCTAATATGGATTAATGCTAACATCAATAATGGGTTGATTAATTTATTTGATCATAACTGTTAATTTGGACAGTACTTGTTTCAAGATACTGGAAAAGTTTCCATGGTGATTGATACTAGTACTGAATGTGAACATTAATAATAGGGATACTCATATTAGTTTGGTATATCTGGGATACAAAGGATGTCAGAATATGTAAGTGATGTCAGTTTGACTAGAATGTTTTCTCATCATAACAGAATGGAAGCAAATTACCATATGATAAATTATGGAGAAATATATTCTGAAAAAGTATTGGTTCAAAATGTTAAAAGAATGAAGACTTCTTAACAATAAGCAATCAATCATAGCATTTACTATCTGACTACATTTAGCTCTGGTTTGAATTCATAAATATTCAAAATAGAATTTTCATCTCTATATCATTTGTCTTAAAATGTCTTCAGGTCCATAGAAAAGTTAAATTAATTTTACATTTGATATAGACACACTTCCCTCCCAGACAATTCAAGTGAAAATTCCCGTGTAAAATCATGTCCACTTGCAATAACTTTTCCAGTGGTTGATATGTTCATCAACCCAAAGAGAATGTATGATTCTCAGTAGTATTTTGTAATTGATATTTCAATTCATGTAGAAATGATTGCCAAAATTCAATTCAAAAAGCATTGAAGTCAGAGAGTAGCTATATAAAACTAATTTATGAAAAATGTAACTCAACAAACCAAATTGGGGGTGTCGGGTTAGAATATTAAGTAGTTATTGTGCGATGGAGCTACCAAAATATGCAGTAGCTAAATAGCATTTTAACCCCAAGTTTAAGGTACATGCATGAAGAGGTTAATACATATTAAGCAACTGAGGCTAAACCACCTCTGGCTTGTAGGCCTGCCTGATGCATGCCGTAGTTTGTAAATCATACACGAGTTTGGGTGCGGTCACAAAATGACCCTGCCTTTATCAAATACATGTAGTTTGAAATCATTTGAGTCAAGAAAAGTTCAATAGTTACTTTTCCAGACATAAAATTTAAGTTCATAATAATAAACAATTGGCCTATTCGTCGGAATTTATTACAAAGTATTACTGTAGAGCGTGAGTTATTAGACATACGTCACGTACAGTACATGCCATATCGGCCATATTCCCTGTTGACCTACTTTTCTTGAGCAAAATATCTCAGTATAAGTATTTATTCAGAACACGGTTTCATAACACAACGAACATTTCTCTAACATTGTACAACAATATCACATAGTAGCATTAACCTATTTGGAATCGAAATTTCCTGGAAATCATTCAATGCCTGTGCACATACAACCAACTACAAGAGCTCGGCTGGGTGATTCAGACATATTTCTGGAGAATTTTTTTGTTCGAGAAATAGTTCATTAGCATTGCCCTTGATAACGACATAAGAATATGTCAAAGTATAACCAAAAAATCTAAATTGAAGATAGAAAGCAATATCAAAACAGGTAATATACCTTTACTGAAAAATAGTCTTCTATCCGTTCCACCCAATATGTACAATGAAATTAAAGATGGCGGAAATGTTGATTTAGGATCGAATGAACGCGTGTTCTTTGTTCTTATTACTATGGCAACGGGGTAATCAATAACTGCCAAGATTTATTACAGTTTCATAATTAGTGAGCAGATGTACGTAGATGAAACTATTAAAATATCTCTATGCTAATTGATCTAATTAGGACAATAAGAGAATCCGTCGTCCTAAGAAAAGCCTTCATTGCTGCCTGACTTCACAAAATATAGAAGAGCAAGCAAATCGGTCATCAACGAAAAATATTGTTTAAAAATTTAAAGTAGCCTACTTATATACACGTAAAAGTTTAGGCCTACAAAATACCATTCCGAATTCATATCGTACTTTCGTTTCTAAAGCCCCAGTCCCACATGCCCGGACTGACGCCCCGGAGTACTTCTGGTCTACTACCAGATACTATCCAAGGTATACGGAGGTGGTCCGGGTCTGATCCGTGGCTACTTCTTGGAAGGGATAGTCTGGGTCTGCGCCGGAGAGGTCTGTGTTTCGTCCGTAACTGCGCCGGGTGATTTTGCCATCCGGTGCAAACCGTTGGTGGGCTGGGAGTGCCATCATCCAGGTCTTTGGCTCATCTGTGTCTTGCCAAGGTACATGTGACTGCAAAACTATTTTTGACATTTTTCTTGAAATTTCACCAAAAAATCCGGGATTTACAGGGGTATTTTGTCCGGCACAACTCCGGAGATGTGGGACTGGAGCTTAACATAATAGTACATATTCAAACTTGGGCCTCCGTTCAGAAATTATGTATTTGTCATTTTGACCAGGATTTTAATTTCTCAGACCAAAGTCATCATTCACTCTGTTTAAATCTGTTAAAAATTTAATACATCGTGTTACCATAGAACTATAGTAGAATACTGATTCTTACCAACTTACAATCATCTGATATTGGACATGCCGTGCTCATCATATCTGATACACCAGTCAATGAGCATCCAACTTATCTGAGGCTATCCGAGCAAGGTAGGGATCAAATGTAGGTACGTAGTGCAAAATTTGTGGTAGAATGATGTTTGTTTTGTTGAAATGCTAAAAATCATGTGGCGTTTGGTCAATTCTCCTTTTCCATATTCGTTTTCTTGGATTAAAATTGCTTAATCAAGTGACAGTTATGTTGTTTGCATTCCTGCTTGTTGTGTTTGTTGAGCAGCAATAACGAGTGTGGCAGGATATGGTTACTTTTCTAGACTGTTTTCATTATGTTACTGATACTTCTTCATGTGAAAAGTACGAGTGGGAGTACTAGTTCAGGAAGAAAAATCGAACGCAGACATCTTATGATGACGTATTTAGAGGAGATAACTCTAGATAATGGTAGATTTCTTTTCTTATAATGACCGACCAAAACGTTAAATCAGTAAATGTTAGTTATAAAACTTACAATATCTTTCAAACAGTGATAAAGTTTAGTTATTACAATATTACAAATAGTCTTAGATTAATAATATTGATTATTAAGTTAAAAAAGAGTTGTCCCCTTGACTGTCACAGTCTCACCCAGAACCCTTTCTTAGTCGTATGTTTATTGATTTAATTCTTAAGAATGAAAAAGCTTTTATAGGATAGTTATACTTCTAACCTGAAGGACAAACAAATTTTACAAATTTTGAAAACACCCTAAATAAAAAAAAACAATGTAAATGATTGGAATGAAATGTTTTAAACAGAAAGTCAACGAAACCAGCACAACAAATGGCAAACGTATAGCTTCTGGTTATGACATCAGAGTTATACAAACAAAGTGAGGTGGGGTACAAAAACCAAGCTGTAGATTTCAACTATGCAAACGGAAAACCAATCAATATATCATTCCCTAACTTCGAAGCCGCACGGACAAGATCTATCGACTAACGCATCAGCATGCTGATGACGTCACTGTCAAAATGAGGTTCTTAATTAGACTCTATACTCTCTGATTAGGGTAATAAAAGATCTGAGCTTGTTGTTGCAATAAAATGGAACAACAGAGGGTTCTTGCGATGTGGGCATGGGTGGCTCCCATCCGTACCTAGAGCTTGCTCATGTTAAGTCAGTCATGGTATTATTCTTGTGTGTTTTTATCGTTGTGGGAGCCCGACATGCGATTAAAACTGTTTTTATACCCTTGGTGCACATGCATTTTTGTGTATTCAAGAATCACTTGATTTTAATTTTTTTTTTCTCACAATAATGAACAGTGCTCGGGTATAATTCCTACAAATGTTATTGTTGTGTTTGAGCAATGTAATTTGTATGAATAAGATTCGAACTTGCTATATATTTTTTCTTAAAATTCACTTTCGTTAATGACTATTTTTATGACCTCCGGAGTATCACTTTAAACTGAAGTATTTACAATACAACAGCAATTGGGCATGCAAAACACACAAACCATTCTAAAAATCAATCAAGCAACTTTTTAATACTTTTCAAAACTCAAATTTGTTAAGTATGTAGCATAGAAACAAAAGTAATTGGGAATACATCTACTACATAAACAAGTGGTTGCCTAGGAAGATATACGCCTACATACCAAAAATCTAATTTGTACAATATATTGTTGATTTCATCAACCACACAAAATCTCTATTGTGTTCATAAACAAATATTGAAGCGTTTTTCTTAAGTCAAGAGCAATAACTCAAAAAACCATTCATCAAAAAATCATCAAATTCAAACTTGACCAAATCTCATCATGATAGATGATCATACCAAATTTGATTTTAATTAGATGAAAACTGTAGTTTCTTTTGTGTTCACAATCAAATTTTTTACACATTTTTCAAGGGCAATAACTCAAACAAGGTTCACCAATAAAACCTTCGAATTCGAACTTAACCAAGATCTCATGAATATAAATGACAACACTAAATTTCATTAAAATCAGATAAAACTGTAGCCTCTATTGTGTTCACCAGCCAATTATGGACAGACGGACTGGGGCGACGACAATATACAACCACATTATAATGTTGGCGTATAAAAATGTAAATAATTGGGTGACAGCTAAATAATACATAAAAGTGTCAAAACAATTCACAGAAGTTGGGTTAAATCTTCAGGGAGAACCTTATCATTTAGGCTACATGTACCTAGAGATTGTAAAGAACAAAGTTTCAAAATAGTTCATAGTTAGGCTTACTGCAAACAAAATGACTTTCAAGTTTAAGCCATTGTCAGTGTTGATAATTGTAAGTTTTTGTGGATAGGGAGGAGTTGGCCATTTTCCTTTTAATTTATTGGCTTTCAATGGATCTCAGAAGCATGAGGAAAACATAAAATATGATTTATGATCAATTAGTTTGTTCATATAATGTCCATTGGATATTGCTCTCATTTCCAAATAAGTTGTTCTTATTTTGTTAGATTAAATAATTAATACACACTAACAGGAGTTTTTAAAATTTTCCCACTCAGTTTTGAAACTTCTTGTTATATTTTGGACTACAAGTCTTAGCTTTAAGACACAAGTAAATGATGCATGGAATTTGATCTATTTCATACAATATGCAAGATATTATTAAGAATATTAAAAAATTCATTTAAATTGATTATTTAACTACAATACAACATTAAACAATTACAACAAAGTTTTTCTAGCTAGCTAATGTACAAGCATGCAAACTGTAAAGACAAATACAATAGAAATATTGAAATGTCAGAGATGGAGAAATCATTTCTATTAGCTTGTCTAATTAAAATTTGAGTCATCACCTGTTGGTACTTATTACATATCTTCATTACCTCTGATTACTTATTAAGATACCCTTGTTTCATGAGCGATGTACAGAATTGATTATCCTTTAGTTATGCAAGCTTGACCATTTAAAAGATATCCCTGGCATAACTAACACTTGCCTTTTTTGAGAAAAGTCTATTGTAGAAACTTTTAATATACAGTGGTAAGTGACTGAAATGAAGTATAATTTTCATGGAGGATGTTTCAACAACAAGATATCTTTAATATTTATATGCATCATAGCAAAAACTTCTCAAAGTTTCTAGTAGTATTCAGAATTATTATTGCAAACCTAAATCATTGAATCAAAAACAAATTTCTCCATCTCTGATAAATACCATGCAGCAGGACACTGTTATATTTTTTATTCATTTAATAGTTTGCGTAAGTGATTCTTCTTTTGCTCCCTTAAAATAAACCATTCCTTTTAGCTTAATTATTAATGAAATATTTGCTTTATTTTTGGAAAGGTACGATACATATTAAAGATACTGTATATCATCATATCGATTAAGATTAAACATCATTAGCGATTCAATTTAAATAGGATAAAGTTTGAATAGAGGTTGTACTGTTGTTAGGAATGTATTAAAAACTTGTGAGATTTAATACTTATTTCTAGACAGATCAACATAGCATGGATTTTAAAGTCAAGATCTTTTAAGAACTCCTTAACTCAAAACGGCTATATTACTTATAATTTACAGACAAGAAAAAAAATAACAATGCCCTGCAATTCAACTTAAATTATCACACAAAATGCTAGAATGAATTAAATAAATAACATAATCAGATACTACATCAAAACTGTAATTGACACAATATATTTGCCCTGAAACATTGACTTAGTAAATCTAAATGTGAGACTAAGTTTTACCTAATTCATAAAATTATGTACAAGAATATGAATCAACAGTGGAAGTATAAAAAATATATGTTTTGTTTTAATCAGCTGTGTAAGATGAGGCATGGTATTTAAATGGCGTTCAACAAAATTAACAGAATGGTGAAAACTAAAGAATGGCACATGGCTTCTTGGGTTTAAATGGATTTTCTTTTTCTGGATTGATCAAATGGTCAGTAGCCATGTTCTGGTTACAGTAGTTAATCAGATCTTTGAGTGTTTCGCTGAGTTTTGGGCGTTTAATACTGGCATGGGTTCTAAGCACCTCAGCTTGTAGTTTGAGTTTGCGGATATGATCAGAATCCCGGGCTTGATAAGTAGGATAAGGCATAGTGATGGTTTGATACACACCTAGAGTTAAAGTGAAATTAACATCGTTAATAGAACACAGCTCTATACTAGCTCTGTAATAGATTGGAAAAGGGCTAATAAATACAATTACGGTACCTCTTTACAATATGTTAAGTTGGAAGTGTTTTTTTTTTAGCAGTGTGTAAGATTTAAAACAATTCTAGGCATGCAGATAGATAAGTTGCAAGTATAAAATGTAATTCAAAACAAATTGATGCAGGACAATCATCTTAGTATTTTGTCTGAGAATCAAATGACATGTATATAATATACCTTAATGTTTGCCAACAGCACTTACCACCTAAATCAGTATTACTTTTTTTTTTTGACAAAATATAACAGATACATATTTATTCTTACCAAATCAATTCTTAGCTCCAACAATATATTCAAACCAAATATTATTTCCACAGACTTCCCAGATAACTTACACCTGAAATGATCAAAATGTCTTAGAAGATGTAAAATGACTGCACTAAATGTGATCACAACATTAATGTGATTAATATGCCAGCAATTATAAATTGATCATGTACAGTGGTTTTACAGTGCATGCAGAAGGGCGTAAAAAAAGCTCCATTCATGTCATATTTGTCTATACAGAGAATAATTTTCGGTCAGTTTCTGTTTGGGTCATTTCGTTTGAACCTATCGGGAAAAGGTGTGTTTCTATTTAAATTAAACTTACAAGTATTTTTTTTAACAACGCAGTCACTTTAAAACAAAAAGTACATGTATTATTTTGAAGCTAATATTCAGATTCAAATTCTGGCTTAAATCAGTCGATCGTCGTGCTAAGTCGATTTATGGTGATCATTTGGGCGAAGACTGTAAGAGTCATTCAAAATTCCATTCAAGCTTAATTTAATTTGCAAATTTAAACTTAAACAAAATGTACAGCTATAAAATAAATGAAATTTGCAAGCAAATACCTTCTAAATAAGGAAAAAAGTAAAATAAGCCATTAACCGGAAACTAAACACTAAACGAATCGGAAGCAGGTGCTCTGACGTCATGGGTATGTATTCGAATTATATTGCCGAGAACAACAAGAACATGTTCTAACCTAACCAATTGGACAAAGAAGAATGCGTTAGTTACATAATTTTGCAGTAGGTTTAGTTCAGTTCAAAATTTCCTAAATTGTTCATTTAATATGATAATATACTTTGTCGTTTGAGACTTGCGATTTCTTACATAGTTGATAATAAACAGTTGCAGCTAATTTCATGATTTTGAACGCCACTTCTAAATATTTTTAGGCCTACAGGAAAGATAAAATTTCTATAATAAGTTTATAGTGGCGGTTCTGATGACATTGGGGTCTTCGCGCAGTCCAGCAGATTAACTCAAAATATCACCATCGTCCAATTTGACGTGAGCCATGCCCAAACATTCATCTGGCACTTGTCCCACCAGCCCAATTCTTCAAAGGGACACCAAAATTCCATTTTTATCAGCAAAAGTCCGCAATTATCACAGCAGCGCTCCTCTCTTATTATGATTTTATATTAAACATGTTATAAAACAGCGTTGAATCATATCTTTCTTTAAAAGGTTAACATAATAGATAAATTGAGATAACGTTCTTTTAACATTCCTGTGCTTTCATTCTTCAAAATTTTATTTTGAGTCTGTGCGGCTCAACTAGATAGCGTATATGAGAAAATTGCCTTTTTATTACCATCATGAATATCATTATAAGCTTATAAGTTATTTTCTACAAGGTTACTAGAGCAGTATTCTAAAGGGAAGAAGATCGTCGTCACTTTAATATTCACACGCATGCAGGTGAAGGCTAAATGAATTTTCCATAAATAAATTAACAGAAATCTGCATTAGGCCTATTTCATGTTTTACAACAGAAAGTCTATGGCCAAACCTGGAAGCGTTTTGTCCGAATAATGGCTTTTATTTTGGTTCGTTGTGCATCAGAACTTTGAGTTTTGCAGAAGCATTTCCAAAGATAAAGCAAAAGTTTGTCAATTGGCCAGTTTGTCAATCTTGATGCAGATGAAAGTATTGAAGACCCCGAACACACAGACAGACATGCCAACTAGTTACCACGAAGCTCTTCAACCGCTGAACGCACATTTTCTGCCCGTCTAAACGTCATCAAGTGCCATTTAAATCCCCTCCAGATAACTAAATCCCCGTTATCCTTGGTTCGGCTCTCCCATGCTGTCATACCATATTGATTCAGGTGCAGCTATCTTACAAACATAAACATGGTAACAATGTACTTATTATATATAGGCTTCTTTATGTATTTTTTATGCAAAGACTTTAAATCGACGATATTTTACTTCTTTGCCTGCCATTTTGAAACAAAAATGACCGCCTATAGTCCAATACTGATGCGTATTGTGTTTTTCATGTTTAAAGTGGTATTTAAAGATATTATTTACCGACTTTTGGTACATTACATGCACATTTTTTGAACATCGTGACAAAATAAGTCGTTGTCCGCCATCGTGGAAAATGGCTGCCCTATTGAAAATTTCACGTGACCCTAACACGTGGCTAATGTGGTTTTTTGTTAAAGGGACAGATATATTACAACTATGCTAAGTTTCATGCTTGTATCGTAAACTGAAAGATTTTTTCACTATCATGCTTGACTACTAGCCATACCCAAGGCATAAGCAACCACTCATGTCATATTAATTTCTATATCGTATTTTCTAATTTGCTTTCAGGTAACAAATAAAATATTGGTTTAGTTGAAAATTCAATTGAAAAAATGGGTTGAAGAAATGATAAATCATGAATAAATTTATTTCATATTCCATGGTGCAAAAATTATCTCCCTTGAACGTACAAAGATAGCTTGCTAGGCAAGGTAATATATGCCCACTGGCAGCTTTGATTTTGAATAAAAATAATTAGCAGTACAGTAACAATCACCAGTATGAAATATTCAACCTTCAGTCATACACTTCTTTTTAACTCTTTATGGCGATACTGAATAATATTGAGCATCAGTTATTGCCCTTGTTCTTGAAAACGTGTTCAATTTTTAGCTCGTGAAAACTCTAGAAGGCAAATATTTAATCTTCAGCACGGGACTGAATAAAAAAAACAAGTTTTGCAAGAATCATGCCTTTTACTGTTTACAAGCTAAAAATTGATAGCGTTTTCAAGAATGAGGGCAATAACTCATACAAAATATTTTTCGATTCTTCTGATTTTCAATAGTGTTCATCCTTGGGTGATTACGAACACTCACACCAAGTGTCAAAATCCGTCAAGAATTGTGCCTTCTAAAGTGTTTACGAGCTAAAAATTGAACGCGTTTTCAAGAACACGGGCAATAACTCATACTAAATATTTTTCGATTTTTCTGATTTTCAATAGGGTTTATCCTTGGTTGATAACAAACACTCATGCCAAGTTTCATCAAAATCCATCAAGAATCTAGAGTGTTTACGAGCTAAAATTTGAACGCGTTTTCAATTGTTCGTAAACACTCTACAAGACACAATTCTAGATGGATTTTAACGAAACTTGGCATGAATGTTCGTAATCAACCAAGGATGAACCTTATTGAAAATCAGAAGAATCGAAAAATATTTAGTGTTAGGGTGTATTGAGACGAGTCTCAATGAAAGCACTGGCCTAGGTCACAGAGCAATAGATAAGTCTATTGATTATGTGAAAATTAGTTAGTCATTAGTATGATTTTAGTTGAAAAGACACACACACAAATGTACACTGCATGTTATATAATATACTGTATATAACTATGGCACCAGTCCTGAAATAAGTATTCTCTGAAATCTAACTTAGAAATCGATTAATTTATTGATAGAACATAATACATTTATATTAAGAAATCTATGCTCCTAGGATGAATGGACAATGGTTCAAGTCTACCGTGAAAGAGGAAAATGCTAAGATTTTGATTTCTTTTGTAAGCTACAACCAAACGTTTTGTGTATACATGGGGAAATTTGTTCTGAAGTTCCGAGTAATGGCGTTTGACTATTATGGAGGCTTTGGTAGCTGTAGAATCAAATGTCGTTATAAAGGGTATTATCTGGTTATCATGTTGAATGTTGAGTCCATTTGGTCTATCCTTGCCATGCACTATATCATAGTGATGGCCATTGAATAGCGTTCGAAGCGCATTTTGAGTCTCGCCAACATATTGTACATCGCATTTTTTACAAGAAATTAGGTATATGATATTTTGATCTCCGCAAGAAATTAGGTTATTCATCGCTAACAATTTTCCGTTCTTGTTGTTTTTGAAAAAATGGGTAACATGTATGTGTTCGCATGTGTGACAAGTAGGACCTCCACAGGGAAATGAACCGAATCCAATAAAAGGTGGAGGGGGGGGTCTTCTTTTCTCAAAATGTCTGAAAGCGTGTCATTCTTAATTTTTCGAAGAAACCTTTTGGAATAACCCCTCTCCCTTAATTTGTCAAAAACTAGTTTACAGGCGGATTCAAAATCAGCCTGTTGGGTGCAAATTCTATGAAATCTTAGAATTTGAGATTTAATTATTCCAGAAAATGTGTGCTTCGGGTGGAACGAGCTTTTGTATTAAAGTTGGTGGGTATCAGTTTCCTTAAAAAATCCAAAAAATCCATGCTGTTTTCGCTGATATTTGCTGTCAATTTCACAGAAGAGTGATGGTTGTTTATAATTTCGAAATATTCCCAGAAATGTTCTAGAGTATCGGACCAAATGATAAAAATATCGTCAAGAAACCGACTATAAATATATTCGCATAACTAGGGGCAAATCGTTTGCCCATAGCAGTTCCAGATGTTTGTAAATATATTTTTCCATTAAAAAAGAAGTCATTGCGCGTTAAACATAGTTTAAGTAAATCTAAAATCTCTGTATCAGGTCGATCAGAACATGGATATCGAACAAATGCCTTACGGACGGCGTCAAGACCAACATTGTTGTCAATGTTGGTATACATACTGGTTACGTCCAAAGAAATGAAATACGCGTTTTCGGGAATGTCCAATTTCTTGATTTTTTCAACAAAATCGGTTGTGTCTTTCAGATAAGAAGGGTGTTGGCATGCTAGTGGCAGTGAAAAGTAATCTATGTATTATGAAACTCGGTATGATTCGCTAGAACAATCAGAAATGATTGGTCTACCTTTAGGAATTTTGTTGGCAACGGACCACTCAGTTTCGGGATTTTTATGAATTTTCGGAAGCGTGTAAATGTGTCGTTGGCGAGGCTCAGTGGACGCGGAAAGGTATAGTCATATTGCTTTTCTGAAATAAATTTCTTTTTTACCAAATTTTGTAGAATATTGTTTATTTCTCGCGCAGTTTCCATAAAAATAGGTGTATCAAGTTGGCGATAGTGATTTGGATTGACCAGTTCAACTGTTTATCAATTTCAAAAATGTAGTCATCGCGATTTTGAATGACGCAGCAACTGCCTTTGTCACTTTTCCTGATGATAATGTTATTGTCATTTTTTGATTATTGAGAGATTTTCGTTCAAAATTGGTAAGATTGTTTTTCTTATTCACCAAAGGCAAATGAGAAATTTCTTCATATAAATTGTCGCAAATAGTTAAAATATCTTGGTCAATCGCATTATCTGGTGGATTCCAGCCAGATCCATCCGTAAATTTGATTCGTTTACCGCGGCCAAGTTTTTCGCGAAAGTAATAATTCAATTTAAATGTTCTCTGAACTTCAGTTACCGACGTCAAAATTGGTTCAATCGAAAATGGTTTATGGGTGGGTATGAAGGTTAACCCTTTATCCAGAAGTCTTTCTTTAAGGGGAGAAAGTATTCGTGAACTTTAATTGACAACAGTTTGTCCTAATTTTGGAATATTTCCCCCCGCGTTTAGTTTAAATGGGAGACCCAATTTAAATATACAGATTTGGCAGTGGGGGCCGTCCAGTGGACGAGATCTAAATGGTTTACCTCGATCATTCCATTGAATCGCGGCATAGTCTTTGCAAACGTAGATGGCTTATGAAAAAGAAGGTCGTTGAATTTTCGTAAGTTGGCGGCTAAATTTGGTCTCTGGCGTTGGAGGATGGAAGAAACTGGTATCTGGGTGGCGAATACGTTGGCTGATGGGAATTTGGTTTTGGCGAGGGATACCAATTCCAGCATCTGTCTGTGGATGGATTTACCTGGTTCATTCTTGTTGTTGAGGCCAATATGGAGAAGGACTTTGGATGGTATTGATGTTGGATTAATCTTTGTAAGGATATCGATGATGTGGTTAATTTTGGCTCCGGGATAAGATTCAGCTTGGGTGTCCTGGTTAACCTCTGGAATTCGGGAAATATTTGAAGATCCTATGATAATTGTTGGTTTGGTTACTTCAGGGAGTGTCCATGTTGATTTGTTCTTGTTACAATCATGACGACGAGGATGGTTTGGTGATTTAGAACCTAAGCTTAGACGTCGACGGAAAGTAGAATTGGTTGATGATCTTGGAGTTTCGGGGTTGGATCTAGGTCTTGATGGGGTAGCAGGTGAACTTGTAGGTAGAGGTCTAACAGAATTGGAGATTGGAGTAAAAGGGGAGGTTGGTAAATTGGTGGTATTGGTTCTTTTGCTTGGAGTTGGTTGTGGGTAAGTAGAAGTACTAGGTAAGGAAGTAGGTGATCTCTGTCGCTTTCGGGAGGATGCTATTGGTTGGTTGGTAGGTGGTTGAGCACGTTTAGGTGGAGAAGCTGGAGGGTCAACTATCATATCTGCATCAATACCAGAAGTCGAAATAGGGTCAGAATTTTTTAAAACAACCAATATTTGCGAGTATTTTTCAAGAGTTTGATTTTGGAGTCGCTTATAAGACTTTTTTGCCCAATTGATCGCTTCTTTAGAGTATTGATTAAAATTTTGTTCAGAGAGGTTGCGTGACTTTATTATAGTAATTTTGTCAGCAAGCATTGAATCATAATGATTCTTTAGAGCCAATGCCACGTCGTTGGCCCAACCTCTATTGATGGAGTCAATAGAGGCGGCAATTTTTGAATTCCTGAGAGCAGGCTTAATGACGCGGTTAAGATCGTTAATTTTAAAAAGAAATCCACGAGTTGGTTGACCATTTGCTTGTTTGGAAATGTGAGTTATTGCCCTCATTCTTGAAAACGCAATCAATTTTTAGCGTGTAAACAGTAAAAGGCATGATTCTTGCTGGATTTTGACAAAACTTGTTTTTTTTATTCAGTCAGGTGCTGAAGATTGAATATTTGCCTTCTAGAGTTTTCACGTGCTAAAAATTGAACACGTTTTCCAGAACAAGGGCAATAACTTATACTCAATATTATTCAGTATCGCCCTAATGAGTTAAAAGGAAGTGTATGACTGAAGGTTGAATATTTGATACTGGTGATTGTTACTGTACTGTTAAATATTTTTATTCAAAATCAAAGCTGCAATGGGGCGTATATTACCTTGCCTGGCAAGCTATCTTGAATTTTCGATTATATGCTATTTGCATTTGAATATCTTTTGGTTGATAGACATAAAGGTTTGTGGATTTTACATAATATACACTTCTTCCCTCTAAGAAATATCAAGTAAAAAATGATTTTAAAAAATGTAAATTGAAGATGTAATTTCTAAATTTATTTTTTTTCATTGATTCACGAACAAAACGTCAGAAAACCTGGGGGGACATGTTATCCTACGGAATGAGGTGACGACAATATACTAAGCTAAGCTAACCAGTTACACTAAGTTACCGAGTTCATAGCGTTATTATCCGCGTTTGAAAGTTAACTAGACGAGTCTTTTCTTGAGACACTGCCATATATACAAAAACATATATAGATATAGGAAGAGAAATTCATAGATAGAGATATTCGTAAAGGATTACGCGTTGTTTGTACATTTCTAATACTTCTAAAGACTACTTAAATACAGGCCCGTAGCCAGCCAAGTAGTTTTAGATACCCCCCTCCCTCCCGGAAAACTTTGTGAATTGTTACTCTTTACAGTGGTGCTCTCTATATAGTTATTGCTATCTTATCTGGGGACCACAGATTGAAAATTTTAGAGAATTTGACTCCCTGGAATGCGATTTCTTGACATTTCCTGACGAATTTAAGGTTTATTTGTATTTGAGAATTAGACGCTTGGAAACGCAAATTCCTTACATTTCCCAGCGAATTTAAGGTTCAAGATTATTTGTATTGGGTCTGAGGGATCTCGCCTAGAAATTTTGAAAATTACATACCCTCAAACGCGTTTTCCTGACATTTCCAGAAGAATTTAAGGCAAGGATTATTTGTCTCATGACAGACTCCATTGACTCAGTAAAATGAATTATTATATTTAAAAATAACAATTGACATTTTTTTAGGGGGGGGGGAGGGCAAAATTGTGTTTAGGGGGCTGGTCACCCCAATGCCCCCCCTTGGCTACGGGTCTCTTCAACATACATAAGATTTAAATATATGGAATTTAAACCCCAGCAGTTGTATCTCCATTATGTCTGTCACCCATTTGCACCCATAGAATATATCACCAACCATACCGAACAATGAAAGTACCGTAATAAAAGACCAAAACAAAATTTTCTCGTTTTGACGTGAAACTCGATTGAGTCGGTTTGCCAAATGTTGTAAACGTATCAATTATTATGTAATTTGTGACAATGCAATTGATTGCGCGGTCGGATTCTTTCAAAGCGAAGGCGTATTTGTTCAAAAAGGTATATCATTCTATCAGCCATAAAAAACAGGCTTCTTTACAAGGCGTATCATTGCTTTAGTCATTTCTAAATTTTAATATGCCACTGGTATTAACGTACATCAAATCATGGTTAGACCGGATTTATTCGAACTATTTATTTTATCCCTTCATCACAATATGTGGTTAATAATTTTGAATTCCGATCTAAGTACAGTGTGACATTTGCCCCAGGGCTATCACTTTTTAATAGCCTTGCAGTCCATAAAACGGACTTATTGCCCCTAACACTTTTTAAGGTTAATAAAATCTGAAATAAGGTTCAGTACACCAAATACAACGACTTGTTTGGTACAGTCCTTTGGTGTGATAATTTAGCTATTAATGCTTTTGTCTGTTCAAATATTTGCTGTTTTCATTCATGTATGCAGATGTACATTTCTTACGGAAAGTATTTTTAAAAACATGACTGCTTTACTGTCATCCGTCTCTCTTGGTAACTTTTGTGCTAATTTACTAGTTGATTTTATTGTCTTTAAACTTTTCCCCCATAGAAACAGCTTTGTTTCATTATACAATGGATGTTAATCAATTGTATCACAACAAGAAAAACAATAGAACAATCATACATTTGCAATGTTTCTGTTTCTGAAAAAACGACCAGCGATATAATTTGTTATTACACTTATCATATTTTTGTTTTTGATCTTAAAAGAATTTTCAGATAACGCCATGGAATATGAACTGTTGAAAACCTTAATTTACAAGAACTGATGTGTGGAAAACGTATCTTATTTTTTTCTTGATTAAATGTTTAGAAAAAACTGCTAAGTCATTCTCCATATAACTACACTATGACACAACAATTTTTTTTCTTCCATAAAAATACTTAACAATATATCGATATTCGAAGTGCTGTTCACCGTAATGGTTTGTGGCTTTTCTGAAAGAATAAAGATATATATATAGCATATGATCTATAGGAAAATTTTCAAATTCTTTGACTACTCGCAAGCATGACATAGCAACTTTATTCGTTATATCTGAACATATTAACTATTAACCCATAGACCTACACCCTGCATTCAAGCGTAGCGATTTATGCCATTCAAACCTGACCCCAATCGAAACTCGTCCATACTAAATGGAAAAGGTCTCAATATTTGCTTTTCCGACGTAACCATCAAAGTTATATAACATTAAAATAATCATTATCAGACAGAATATTTCATTGCAGGACCTTTGTGACAACTAAAATTTTCTGCTACTCGTATTAAGATTTTTAAAGTTTTAAAATTATTAGGTATAATTTGTATACAAGTGAGTAAAAACGAAAAAGCAAAAGTGCCGACATTTTGGTAAACATAATTACACGTGTTTAATCACTGATGACGTCAGAACAGGATATCGGTTAAGGAGTCGAAGGCCTATAGATCGTGACTCGAGTATCCGACTTTTTTTCAATGCTATTTATAAGTATCCCTGTTGAGACTGTAAATATTCTCGAGGTCCACTTATTATCTCGGGCCTTCTACACACTAATAGGCCGTCTCTTTAAAGTTCAATCACTTTCGTCGATATTGTGTTTTTATACATTAGGTCAATCTTCATTTTATACACATCTCATCTTTAGTTCGATGAAATTTATTTTTTAGATATTGCGACTTAGTGGGAAAAAAGTTTTTTTTTAAAAAGTGTTAGTATTTTGGAAAATACAGAGATTGACAGATAAGCAAACGCCCAGTGTCAACAATAAGAAGTGCAAGCTTTACTAAGTGGATAGAATAATTTTGATGTTACAAAAATGTGGATAATTTTAAGTCTTGTGTTTTCATGTTTGCCCTGTATAACTGGACATATTTCCCTCATTTATCCACCGTCCAGAAAATATGATTTCGATTTTATGGATAATTTACTTACCCCGGGACCATGCGGCGTACCAACAGGTAAAATTAGGCGTATTTTATTGTTTGTCATAAAAGGATAACGTAGAAAATATTAAGACCTTTCTATTTTTATTTGGAATGCAACGCTTTTTGTGATTATCTGAAGATAATTTCAGATTGAAAAATACGATCAACCAAATTCGATGCAAATATCTACGGTAGTCCGTATACGACATCATTTATTCATGTTAATTTTGAATAAAAAACTGGAATATGATTATAAAACATAATTTTGAATTAAAAACTTGTATTTTCACCAGGGTGAAAATTAATTTTTCTCAGGTGAAAATTCCAGAATTTTGAATTAGGGTGATAATTCTAAAATTTGGAACTAAAAACTTGTATTTTCACCTTGGTTGAAATTTATTTTCACCCAGGTGATAAATCAATAATATTTAATTAAAAACTTGAATTTTCACCCATCATTTATTTTTTTAAATTTTGAATTAAAAACTCGCCTACACTTAATTGTGGACGCGATAGGGATTCAATTTTTCTTTTATTGGATTTCGTTGCTTTAAATGTATTTTGCTGAGATATAAGTTCCATTTGACCGACCCAAATCGACCTATGGCCTTTAAAATTTTTACAATCGCTAATTCATGCTGTCCAAATTTTATGATTTACTAAAATCGTTGCTCTGGTTATAATTCATTCCATTTACATAACAAAGTCGCCCTTTCAGGTTGCTAGTATAGATATTATCAATTAGCACAGCCAAATGATGCAGTTAATGAATTGCAAACAGCTCCCCTTTAATTTCAAAAGTAACAAATAAATTGATGAAAGTATTCTTAATAACCATTTCATATCACACCTTTTTCTTTAATTAAGAAGTATATTTAAATGTTCCCAATATTTAATGTATTGTATATAGAGTATTGTCCCCAAAAATAATTTCTAAAAAGTAACTATGGGCCTATGTTGTCCATAAAAATGTAAATAGTTTACAAAATCTAATGACTAATAATTTGAAGCTAAGGCACTAATATTTCTAGATAAACGGTAATTATATTGATTCAATAGCCATGTTTTAAGGGGTCGAACACAATAGACTATAAAGGTTGACCTGTTTTCATGTACAGACATTATAACATCATTTACATGTATAATGTATTAATTTACTATGTAGAAATTCAAAATAGGGGATCCAGTCAATGTATCGCGGACAATAGCAATAGCAATTATTATTGATGTAACGACGTCATTATTTGATCAAGGTCTTTACAGACTCATATATTCCTGTACTATAACTACACTTGATGTTTTTCTACGACTTGGATTTTTAACACATACGCATCAGCTTTTTGGAATCCACTTAGCCGTTGTACTTCATTTGGACAATTAACAATTAACACAACAAGGAAACAATTCTACTGGAATGAACGAGAAGGTACCAGTAACAACTCCTCGCACAAACCTCATTCTTAATCTGCACCCCATGCTGATATACGTACAATTATTCATCATTTTTGACAAGACAACCAATCTGAACCTAATACCACTTTACGGGATGACAGACTTGGTATAATGTAAACAGTACCCACCGTAAACAAATACTTTCTCTCATTAGACCTATACTATGACAAGACGTGAATGTTAAATACTGATAAAAAGTGTTATAAACTGAGTCGTATTCAAACAGTAGTGTTAATTACATTGTTCTAGGTTGATAATTAACAACTATTTAACAATAGCTAATAATGAAAACACATATTTTCATCACAGCTTCCTATTTGCAACGGCCTCCTTATAGTGGCTGGTTATTGAATCATTTCACTTATACAACTATACCTTTTCTACATGAAATTCCCTCTTGAATTGGCAAAGGTCAAAGGAACCATAATTTTCCCAGCAAGCTATATAGGGTTCACACTTTTAAATACAGTTCAAACAATGTATTTTTCAAGTTGGTCATCTCCTTTTTCAGGTTTAGGTCCATCGACGACATTATTAGCTGGATCAACTATAAATGTCAAATTTCATTTAGCATATCCCCACAAGGTAAGAAGGTTCTTCTTATGAAATCAAAAAGTAATATCACCTTATCATATTTAGATACATAGTGGTATCTGTCAGTTTAACCGTTTACCAGCCAAGCATACAAAGCTAAAAAAATATACAATTAAAATTTTCTGTTGATCGATTAAGTGTACATTTTTGGATTCAAATTTACAGAGAGATGTTAGTGGCCCCAATTCTCTAAAAGAAATTTGGAGTTCGAATGCGTATGAGTGAAATAAAACAACTTTATCGTTGTGTAATAAAAAGAACTATGTGAGGCATCGTGATATCTTCTTAACAATATTTATCCTTTTTTTTGGTGTAAGTATCATTTAAAAAATATTTCAGGGAGGGTTTTTCTTGGAAGTTATGAACAACAACACCAATGCCATACTACGACATCCACAATCAGGTGTTTTGTCAAGTTCGAATACAACGTAAGTATAGCATTATTTGTCTACTTACTGCTACAGTCATGTAGTAAACGAGGAGTTTACCTTCTAAAGACAAATAATGATAGATTTTATGTTGTATTTTTGTATCTATAAGTTGTTGAAACGCTAAGAATACGCCAAAAATTTAGTGAAAATAAAAACCACATCAATATTTCATCGTATGTCAGCGTTTTAACGTAATATTGATATGACGCTTTAAAGCCTGTCGCAGACGAGAGAAACTAGCTGAGCTGTCTGCCTCAAGAGGTAAGGAGTTGCGCTGTTTCCTCCGTGTGTGCTTCAAGAGGCTGTGAGGTAAATATCTATTTTAAATGAGCACAATAGCCTCAAGAGGCCAGTGCGGGCCTAATAGCTCAGGCGAGAGCTAAAAAAAGTATTTAGAATGTTGCTCAGTTGACAGCCTCTCGAGGCAGACAGCTCAGATAGTTTCCCCTCGTCTGCGGCAGGTTACACGGTTGCTAAACGTCATATGGTGTTAGAGGGCCCTTAACAATTATTCCATTGAATCCCAGCGACTCACAAAAACCTTCAAATATTTAGATGATAATCATCCTTAAAAACTGAAAAGTCACTAAAGTCGTATAACAGATAATGGATGAAACTGACCATTTATCAATTTAAGATAAAATCTGACCAGAACCTCAATTAGTTTTTGTACGGTCACCTTTATCTTTTGTTAATGCATATCCATAAAGTGACGAAGTACAAAACCGAGTGCAGTCATCTTTATGTCATGTCGAGTGTATTGTAATCAAAGTATCAGTTAACTATGCATTTAGTGTACTGTATACTGTAATTATGGCCGTGTCACTATAATTAGAGAGGAATAATGAGTGATTCATGATAGCATCAGATAAATATAGATTTAGATGCAAATAATGTAATTTAAAGGTACGTTGTCGTCTTTAGTTATGAATTTGCATAATATTTGTGAAAGAATCAGATAACTTTAAAATATGAATATCAATCATATCGATTACATCGAAACAAGTAATTAGCTGCCATGATTGTTAGCTTGACTAGTTGATAAACCTCGTTTTAAGAGTATTGAATAGCCCCTTTTGCTACAAAACAAAATAGAAAACCTCTTGTAAATCTTATCATTTCATATCCTGGATGTATTAACAAATTTCAAGCCTTCTATATGATTAAATTGTATACAAAATCGAAATTTTATAAAATTCATAATGTGTTTTGTTGTAAACAGATATTATGCATGTATGGTTAATACATTCAAAGTTTTTTTCAGTAAACGACGTATATGAACTGATCTGTTAAATTTCATTATGAAAACACATAGAATAAGTAAACAAATGGACATTATAGAAGCATAAAGAAAAAGTAAAGAAAGTTTTGAATCGAATTTTGGTGGCTTAATCAGGTGTCATTCAAGGATATTATTAACCAAAAGGATCTTCATAAATTTCGTCTTATTCAAATACGTAATAAGATTTTCCTCTTTGGCATCTGGTATATTAATCTTTTCATGCTATCTGCTGCTCCGCTGCTCTGCATAGATCAGATGATAGAGGGTTAACGCCTATAATCGTAAAAGCAGTCTATTTAAGGAGAGATTATGTAAACTAAATGCGATTTTGATATAAGGAAGGATAACTATAAATTTTACACTTTATACTATGTTAACTATTAGAACAATATTGTGGGTCAATGTCATTATGAAGATGATCCCTATCGATTTTGAACTATATTGTGCAACTCGTGCTCACTCTGCAGGCAACAATCGATTTTCGTGATGATCTGATAATTTTTCACCGAAATATCGTGTCCGACTTAGCGTTTTTACTCTATTAGCTATATTGTGCAACTCCTGCTGACTCTGCAGGCAACAATTCTTTATGGATTCTTATGATTTTTGTATGCTCACATGTATTGTGGACTTAAATTGTCTTCACCCTGTCTGTCAGTCTGTCCATTCACGTTTGGCCTGAGAACACTACAGATTTCTTGATGTATTCTTTTCATTTCGTTTGTAAATATATCGAATTTCGTCATGAGATTGATATTTGGGTAAAGAATTGATTTAATGTTTTGTAGTGTGTTCACTATTCACAATTCTTTATCTTTGAGATACATATAAAATCTAAGTAATAATAAAATGCCGAAAACAATAAAACATGCATCAAGGTATTTTTTACACAATCTACTGTCTATGTACAAGAATCAAGACATGCTTTAAAAACTAGCCATGATGCGATACAATAAAGTTTTCTTAAAATTCTCTATAGACTATAATGAAGCAAATGTGAATATTTTTACTTGCAATCTAAGCTTCTGGCGGGCGTATGTCACCTTTCTTGGAAAGGTTATCTTTTTACAGGTTAAACCTATTAGGGCTCTTTTGTCTGATTTCTGTTACAAGTTTATTTTTTCATGGTATTTCATAAAATATGTTGTAATTATAAATAACGATGTTATGACCTTATCAGAACAAACATCATATAATTATGTTGTATATTTGCAGGCTTCGATCAGCTGAATTAACTCTCCCAAATCAAGAATGCAGGGGATGTTGGATACGATTAGTAAGACAGGCAGCAGAATGGGTGGCTAGTTGTCGAAAAGGTTACGTGTTTTGGTCTTGTGCTGATGTTGATATCATTCAAACAGGTAAAAGCTTTTGTTCCGGGTCTAGAATAGACGGGGCCCACCTTCTGAACCGCAGGCTAGTTTTGAATTCTTATGTATATGCTCTGCATATAAAAGTTTTCTTTTTTTTTATTGAAATGCGTCTAATCCGGCCCCCGCCTAATTCATCGTGCCTAACAGTGGTCATGTGAAATAATAATTAATTGTATTATTGATATTCTAGGTTTCACCTAGCCTAACAGTGGTCACGTGAAATAATAATCAATCATATAACTAATATTCTAGGTTTCACCTAGTCTAACAGTGGTCATATGAAATAATAATTAATTATATTATTAATATTCTAGGTTTCACCTAGCCTAACAGTGATCATGTGAAATAATAATTAATCATATAACTAATATTCCAGGTTTCACCTAGTCTAACAGTGGTCATATGAAATAATAATTAATTATATTATTAATATTCTAGGTTTCACCTAGCCTAACAGTGATCATATGAAATAATGATTAATTATATTATTAATATTCTAGGTTTCACCTAGTCTAACAGTGGTCACGTGAAATAATAATCAATCATATAACTAATATTCTAGGTTTCACCTAGTCTAACAGTGGTCATATGAAATAATAATTAATTATATTATTAATATTCTAGGTTTCACCTAGCCTAACAGTGATCATGTGAAATAATAATTAATCATATAACTAATATTCCAGGTTTCACCTAGTCTAACAGTGGTCATATGAAATAATAATTAATTATATTATTAATATTCTAGGTTTCACCTAGCCTAACAGTGGTCACGTGAAATAATAATCAATTATATAACTAATATTCCAGGTTTCACCTAGTCTAACAGTGGTCATATGAAATAATAATTAATCATATTATTAATATTCTAGGTTTCACCTAGTTTAACAGTGGTCATGTGAAATAATAATTAATCATATTATTAAGATTCTAGGTTTCACCTAGTCTAACAGTGGTCATATGAAATAATAATTAATCATATTATTAATATTCTAGGTTTCACCTAGCCTAACAGTGATCATATGAAATAATAATTAATTATATTATTAATATTCTAGGTTTCACCTAGTCTAACAGTGGTCACGTGAAATAATAATCAATCATATAACTAATATTCTAGGTTTCACCTAGTCTAACAGTGGTCATATGAAATAATAATTAATTATATTATTAATATTCTAGGTTTCACCTAGTCTAACAGTGGTCATATGAAATAATAATTAATTATATTATTAATATTCTAGGTTTCACCTAGCCTAACAGTGATCACGTGAAATAATAATCAATTATATAACTAATATTCCAGGTTTCACCTAGTCTAACAGTGGTCATATGAAATAATAATTAATCATATTATTAATATTCTAGGTTTCACCTTGTCTAACAGTGATCATATGAAATAATGATTAATTATATTATTAATATTCTAGGTTTCACCTAGTCTAACAGTGATCATATGAAATAATGATTAATTATATAACTAATATTCCATGTTTCACCTAGTCTAACAGTGGTCATATGAAATAATAATTAATTATATTATTAATATTCTAGGTTTCACCTAGTTTAACAGTGGTCATGTGAAATAATAATTAATCATATTATTAATATTCTAGGTTTCACCTAGTTTAACAGTGGTCATGTGAAATAATAATTAATCATATTATTAATATTCCAGGTTTCACCTTGTCTAACAGTGGTCATTTGAAATAATAATTAATCATATTATTAATATTCCAGGTTTCACCTAGCCTAACAGTGATCATATGAAATAATAATTAATTATATTATTAATATTCTAGGTTTCACCTTGTCTAACAGTGATCATATGAAATAATAATTAATTATATTATTAATATTCTAGGTTTCACCTAGTTTATCAGTGGTCATGTGAAATAATATTTAATTACATCATTAATATTCTAGGTTTCACCTTGTCTAACAGTGATCATGTGAAATAATAATTAATTATATTATTAATATTCTAGGTTTCACCTAGTCTAACAGTGATCATATGAAATAATAATTACTGATATTATTAATATTCCAGGTTTCACCTTGTCTAACAGTGATCATATGAAATAATAATTAATTATATTATTGATATTCTAGGTTTCACCTAGTCTAACAGTGATCATGTGAAATAATAATTAATTATATTATTAATATTCTAGGTTTCACCTTGTCTAACAGTGATCATGTGAAATAATAATTAATTATATTATTAATATTCTAGGTTTCACCTTGTCTAACAGTGGTCATATGAAATAATAATTAATCATATTATTAATATTCCAGGTTTCACCTAGTCTAACAGTGATCATATGAAATAATAATTAATTATATTATTGATATTCTAGGTTTCACCTAGTCTAACAGTGATCACGTGAAGTAATAATTAATTATATTATTAATATTCTAGGTTTCACCTAGTCTAACAGTGATCATATGAAATAATAATTAATTATATTATTGATATTCTAGGTTTCACCTAGTCTAACAGTGATCACGTGAAGTAATAATTAATTATATTATTAATATTCTAGGTTTCACCTAGTCTAACAGTGATCATGTGAAATAATAATTAATTATATTATTAATATTCTAGGTTTCACCTAGTCTAACAGTGGTCATATGAAATAATAATTAATTGTATTATTAATATTCCAGGTTTCACCTTGTCTAACAGTGGTCATGTGAAATAATGATTAATTATATCATTAATATTCCAGGTTTTAACCTACTCTAACAGTGATCATTTGAAATAATAATCAATTATATTATTGATATTCTAGGTTTCACCTAGTCTAACAGTGGTCATATGAAATAATGATTAATTATATTATTGATATTCTAGGTTTCACCTTGTCTAACAGTGATCACGTGAAATAATAATTGGTTATATTATTGATATTTTAGGTTTCACCTTGTCTAACAGTGGTCATATGAAATAATAATTAATCATATTATTAATATTCCAGGTTTCACCTAGCCTAACAGTGATCATATGAAATAATAATTAATCATATTATTAATATTCCAGGTTTCACCTAGTCTAACAGTGATCATATGAAATAATAATTAATCATATTATTAATATTCCAGGTTTCACCTTGTCTAACAGTGGTCATATGAAATAATAATTAATTATATTATTAATATTCCAGGTTTCACCTAGCCTAACAGTGATCATGTGAAATAATAATTAATTATATTATTAATATTCTAGGTTTCAGCTAGTTTAACAGTGATCATGTGAAATAATAATCAATTATATAACTAATATTCCAGGTTTCACCTAGCCTAACAGTGATCATGTGAAATAATAATTGATTATATTATTAATATTCTAGGTTTCTCCTTGTTTAACAGTGATCATGTGAAATAATAATTAATCATATTATTAATATTCTAGGTTTCACCTTGTCTAACAGTGATCATGTGAAATAATAATCAATTATATAACTAATATTCCAGGTTTCACCTAGCCTAACAGTGATCATGTGAAATAATAATTGATTATATTATTAATATTCTAGGTTTCACCTAGTCTAACAGTGATCATGTGAAATGATAATTGATTATATTATTAATATTCTAGGTTTCACTTAGTCTAACAGTGATCATGTGGAGTAAAAATTGATTATATTATTTATATTCTAGGTTTCACCAAGTACCCATCTTGCCCCCTTGTAGGTACCAGCCTGCTTTGTGAAGTGATGAGCTAACATATTGCTTTATGATTGTATTTCTAGGTTTCATTGAGTCATGTAGTGGTCATGGTACATGGAGAAATAATAAGTGTGAATGTGGAATGCTGTGGATAGGAGATAGATGTGAACATAAAGGTATACCTAATTACTTTCCCTTCACATGACATCTTATGAAACATGCTCTTAGAGCAATGGGACACACCTGTGAGAATTTAAATACAAATATTGCCATAACTTGATATAAAAACATTATGCTGAATAGCAATACGCGTATTATATTTGACAATTGAGTTCATGGCCTAAATATAATTACAGAAAGTAATTTAAGTGTTGATGTCAAAATACTGAAAGAAATTATTGAAGTGTGGAGTGACATAAAGAGTAAATAAATCTGAAGAAATTAACATGCTTCACTGCTCAAATTATGATATTTTACGCTATTTTTTACAAAGAAAGATTTCAAAGATATAGATATACGTTATGTTTTTTGAATCAGCCAGTGAAAGATTATTGTATGTCTCCGGGTTATTCATTGCCTAACGGTTATACAAGGTATTCAGGATTATTTTATATTTTATCAGGAAGTTAACCTTAAAAGGAATACTACTTCATAGGATGACAAAAAAATATAAATTTTCGAAATTGGCCAAAATGAGGTGTCAAAGCTACAATAAATCCATAAAACTAAATAATAATCCATTAAGTAATTCTGAAACGCGCTTAGAAGCACGTTAGCTACTTAGATTAATGGATATATCGTCGTATATAGAGATTCTGTTCTTTAGTCATGGCATCTGGTAAGTCCAACAGATGAATACATACTCTTATTGACCAAGTTTGAGACTTTAAATTTTATGTCTATTCTAAGATGTAGTATTCCTTTAATAGGCGTTAATGACCATCTTATTATACAATCAAATTGAAGTTTCACTCGTTGAAATAGCTGGAGGAAACATAACTCATAAATTTGGTCTGATCATTTATATTGATGAGATTTCGAACTGCTGTTTCAGTGTACCGTTTTGAGTTATTGCCCTTAACTTAAAACGCTTCAAAATTTGTTCATAAGCTCTATATAAGCTGCAATTTTTAATCGATTTGAAACTTGTCGACTTTGCCTTGAAAGCTATTTTTGTATTAGTCTAATGAGCATAACTCAAATGTTTCTATTCCCCATTAGAACGATCTCAACGATGGATTTCATTTTGAAGTTCTACGGGTATACACTGATGTAGCCAGCTGGACATCCGATTCTGTCCCATTATTTTAACTATGAACAGGAAAGAATCTTATGTTCTTCCCATGTAGAATTACTTAATATACTTGTATATAAATGTTCTGCTGTAGCTACAGACTGTGCACAATAAAGATCCCCCAACAGTTGGAAATCGAAAAATGTAGGCTAATGCCGCTTTCGAGGCAAAATTTCACTCATTGCAAACTGCATGGCGTTTCTTCATTAGTCAAGTTATAGGTGCAGAAATGTAGGACGTAACACTCCATTCATTTCGTTTTTTACAGTTGATTGTAAAGACGCCAGTGATTGCAATGATCATGGTGAATGTGTAGATATTGCTACAGATCCTAACCCAATTAAGCATTGTTATTGCCAACATGGATGGCACGGTATACAGTGTGATAAAAGTAAGTTAAACTATTATGCTTTGTTAACCATTAGCAAGAAACACCATGAGTTCACCAAGGCAGAGAAAAATTCATTCTCTTAGAAATAAATTATGTATTGTTTTTATTGAATGAAATCTTGCTTTTAGCCTCCAGTGTGGCCACCAAGAATATCGATTACAGTTTATACAAAAAAAGCGAACTCAGTCCAGATTATATGTTATTCTATAGATATATTGCGGTAAGTTTTCATACACCAATATCATTATGGATAGAAGTATAGTTTATTAGTCGCACACTGACAACCATATTTGTCGAACAGTGTGTTTGTGGTCTGTTTGTCAACAACAGATATAAACAGATGAAAAACAGTATAATAATGTTCGATTTCGAATAGACCTAATTGTTTTTGTACTTTTATCTGCAATTTAATTTAAGATTTCTGAAGAGATTGAAATGGTACTAAAAGTGAACTCTTCTAACTGGGTAGCTATTGGATGGAGACCCCAATGTAAGTTCTTTTAATAATATTTTAATAATCCTTTAACCCAAAGGATAATATAGATAATCGTATATATAGAATATGGTTATTTCATTCTCATAATCTCAAAATCCGATAAATTTTTGGTATTGCAGCTTTCCGGTCAGGATGTCAGCTTTTCCCTAACCTACCGAATGCTAGAGCGTGGTCAGCGGGTGAAGATGAGGTAAACACAAAAGAAACTACCCCAAAACCAGAAGGTGAAGCTGAGGCAACAACAGAACCAGAATCTGTACCAGAGAGTAAGTTAAGACCATACCGTTCAATGACAGTACATAATTTTGTTTAATCTAGTACCGTGTAGTAGTTGAACAATCTAAAACAAAATAAAGTCGGTAGTAAGAATATTGTCATTTGGCCTATAAAGTGTGTTTGTTTTTCACAGCCCCGAAACCAGAAGGAGAAGTAACGTCTGAACCAGAAACGGAAGGTGAAGTAACGTCTGAACCCGAAACAGAAGGTGAAGTAACGTCTGAACCCGAAACAGAAGGACAAGTAACGTCTGAACCTGAACCTGAAACGGAAGGTGAAGTAACCTCTGAACCTGAAACGGAAGGTGAAGTAACGTCTGAACCCGAAACAGAAGGTGAAGTAACGTCTGAACCCGAAACAGAAGGACAAGTAACGTCTGAACCTGAACCTGAAACGGAAGCAGAAGTAACAACAGAACCAGAATCTGAACCGGAGCGTGGTAAGTAGTCAGAAGTACCCCTACAGCTATTTACCACGGCGTGGTAACTTGTTCAATTAGGCCAATGTCACCATGTTAGTCTATGGAGACAAAACGTGGTAACTAAATTTTACCACGTGTTTTTTTTATTTGGTGGATTTCATCCAATTTTTTTTTACATTTTAAAAAATCACACGTTTTAGGTTTCAAAAATATTAATATTGTGAACATTTCACATTGTTAACACACTAAAATAAGCATTTTAATATCTCTAGCGAAGAAAAATATCCGCCATATTTAATATCGGTGACTGGTTTTCGGGCATTTTGGACGCTAAATTTCACAATCTAAAAATTTCTGCAATCGCTATGTAATGTGAACCACAAGGAATGCGTGTTTATGATCATACTGCGTGCATTTCCAGCTGTCTATTAGTCTGCAATTCGTTTATTTATACATTTTAAAGCTATGCTTTTGACTTTTATTGAACTTTTAATTTCCAAGCTATGATACTGTATATTCCTGGTTCCCAGGCTATTGTTGGAAAAGAATTATAGAGTTTCAGGATTTCTGATGCCCTTCAACACGACGAACCCAAGCGAACCTCGACACTTTGCTCATCAAAACTAAAGATAGAAATAGACTCAATGCGGCTGATGATATGCATAGGATTTGTAGACAACTGTTCCTATATTTGCACTAATTGTGCAAGGAAAACAACAAAGTCTTCCTACTGAGCATCTAATTGCTTACTTGATTAGTATATAATCATAGAAGTGATTATTATGAATAAAAAATCAATAAAATGATAAATTTAAAATGTGTTGATTGTTATGAGGCATTGCTCTTGTCTTTCGAAATGCGTTCAGTCTGTAGCTTATAAATACACGAGAACCTATCACTAGCCCTATGAAAATACTGTTTAACAGAAGTATGAGGTCGGTAATGATACAGATATTGATAGGGTTTAACTGTAGTATGTAGTAGAGGTCGGTAATGATACAGATATTGATAGTGTCTGACTGTAGTATGTAGGAGAGGTCGGAAATGATGCAGATATTGATAGTGATTAACTGAAGTATGAAGTTTAGGTCAGTAATAATACAGATATTAATAGTGTTTCACTGTAGTATGTAGTTTAGGTCAATAATAATACAGATATTAATAGTGTTTCACTGTAGTATGTAGTGGAGGTCAGAAATAATACATATATTGATACTGTTTGACTGTAGTATGTAG